AACAGGCAGAAGGACGCATCTCCGACCCCATAAAGTATATATATTCTTGATTAGCATCAATAGCCGAGTCGATCTAGCCATGTCCATCTGTCTGTCTGTCTGTCTATCTGTCTATCTGTCTATCTGTCTGTCCGTCCGTCTGTCCGTATGTATGAAAGCAAGGATATCAGCACCTACAAGAGATAGAGACTTGAAATCTTAGCTGTAGGTCCTCCAAGCGCAGATCGAGCTTCTTTTTGATAATCGATAACTTACTCCGTTTCCCAGCAATCGATAAAAATCGATATCGAAATTCTGTTTTTGAGCAAATTGGGTAAATATTAAAAGCTAGAGTCACAATCTTGACGAAGTGCTCCATAACCAGAGTATCTTATTTAAATCTACTGAACAAATGAAGCTGTTAGATGTTCTTTGGCTTACCCGAAACTAATAATGTTGTTTTTTTCAGCTCCACCTTTTTGTTTGAAGCATACACACGCCCAGTTTGTTGCAACTGTGCCACCAATTGCTGCCTAATACGGTCGATATTGCGCCGCGCAAACAACAGGTATTACACACAGTGCAGTCAGACATTTCAGTGAGTGGATGCGGATGCCAATACAATAACTGGGGCGAGTATCAGTAACAGTAAATTCTATTCATAATATTCCAAACACACGCGGCACGTGTTGTTGCCATAGATTTGTCCTTGCCACTTGCCGTTTACTTTATGCATTGGCAACAATAATCAGACGGGAACGACGACGACGAGGAGCACAACAAAGCATCTACGCATCCGAGTACGACACTTGGGGCAACCAATAAAAAGTATTCTGACAAATAAAGTAAATCTGGGGCAAGCAGCATTTTAATGCAATTTGCTGCAAACGAGCGACAAAAACATAAACGAGGCCATATTGTATTTTTTAGCACTTGCCAAAGGATATTACAAGCTTAACACGATATGTGCAGAGGGACATCTCCTAAGATCCAACAATTAGTTTCGAACCCTTGCCTGACAATCCACTTGGGTTCCTCTGCAAAACTCAGAATAAATAAGCTTTAGCTTGGCTTATTACAAAATCTTATCAATATATAGAATGCAGCTAATATATCATATTAAAGAAAGCAAGTAGAATTAGTCTTTATATAAAATATATCTCTAGGCAATAATATCCCTATTCACATAGAGCAAGAGTATTTGATCTTTGGCATGTCAAATATAGCTGTTCAAACATGTTCTTCATTTGATGTCTTGAATTACGAGCCACTTTTGTCTATGGATATCGAAAAGCAAATTATGTCACAAACCTGGACAAGCGTTATGAGCTGAGTGGGCAGCATACACAGGTCAGGCTCAGGCTGAGGCGCGCGTGTGCATTACCCTCAAAGATTGAGGGGCCATTACGAGGAAATTTCATTACACCGACTTGCGTAGGTGCGAAACATGAGCAGCACTTAACGCAAACTCGTTCACCTGTCAGCCGAAACTCGGCCCCGTTGCGACAGTTAACCATAGCCAAAGCCCGCAAAGCCGCGACTCCGCTGATAAAATTGTAAAGCACTTTGGGCCAAAAACTCGAGACCAAATCGAGTTGAAGAGAGAAAAAATGAATATGATAGAAAAGTGCCGTTCAAGGTTGTCGCATCTGAATTGGAAAGCCATAAACTGCGAGGCGTTCGGGCGTCAAATGTTGCGTATACGCAACGTAATCAATTTAAATGTTTTTTCTCTCTTTTTTCTTTCTACTTGGTTTATCAGCTGTGGCTCGTGCGATTACCAAATTGCAAAGCTCACACAAATTTCGAGTGTATCCGCAGAGAACTTCATTAGCAAAAAAATGTTCAAGCCAGCTTAATTCAATTTTAATTTGCCCGCCGAAAATATTTGCGCAATGCTGTACAGCAATGTGTGGCAAAATGTTAAATTCCTTGAGAAAACAGTTTCCTTAATTGGCCGGAACCGCAAAAAAAAAAAGAAGAAATGTGAAGATAAAAGCACGACACAGCCAAATGTTCATTGGCTGCACTCAAATGTGACGAGGACTGCGTTGATATGACAATTGCACAAGTTTTCTTTTTCGTTTTCCAACTTTTATCTAACTCTATTTCTCACGGTCATTTGGGTTCTGCTTTGTCGAAACTCAAATGTTCGTCTTTAATTTCTCAATGTTCACTTTTGCCTGTGCTCAGCTCTGAGTCGAATTCAATTAAACAATTAAATGCCAACTGGGCAAATGTACTTCCAGCAAGCAATTTGGCCATCTGGCTGCGACTACCGAAATGCATTAGCATTTTGGAGGCGACATTTTCGTCTTTAATCTTATCTCTGTTCCTGTTTGAACAATTCTTTATTTTCACTTTGTGCTAGTCTTTTCCACTTGTCATCCGTTGCTTTATTCATATTCCATTTTTCGAGCTAGCATTTGCTCAAAGTTCATTTCCTTTTAAACATAAAATGTCATGCTTAAGGCTTGAATTGCTTATGATGCCGAGAACGAAGCTTTAAAGCATTATCTTGCCCGTTGGCATGAGCTAGCGAATTTAACAAGTCGAGTCTGTCTGACTATAAGATATCCTCTGAAAATACCCTAAAAGAGTTTTAGCTTGGCTTCATCTTGGCAAGGCTTTGCACTTTAGCAAAAACCAATTTTTAAATAATTTCTCAACTTGGCATTTAACACACCATTTATCTCCGAGCTTCTTTTTAGCTAGACCCCACAGGATATTAAAATTTCATACTCAAATAACTTCTGTGTTTGTTGTGCGATTGATATAAACTTTCCCGAGCTTGACATGAATACGTTATCTCTGACCCTTATAAATATGCTGATCGGTAAATGTCTTCTGGTTGCAAATGCCTTCCCCTGCCTGTTTAATGGCTATGTTTAACCTCAATACACCCAGTTTTAAACAGTTTTCAATGGGCATTTAAAGGCAGGCACTTTAGAAGTCTATGCACGTACAACAGATATAGGGACCTGTTCATTTACATAAATACTCTCCAGCTCTTAAAGCGACATAGAGCCCATAAAGCATATGAAAAGTGAACGTTAGACGCATGTGCTTGTGCCACGTAGTGCTGTTCATTTAATAACTTCGCCAACTCTTCTAGTCCTTCGTGTTGTTTTCATTACTTTAACATAATTTGAAATCCTTTTAAGCTGAAGCACTTCAAGCGGCAAATCAAATAAATAAACGCTGGTTGTAAGAAGCTAATGCAAAAACCCTTTAGCTGAACAGACTTTAAAACGCAAATCGCGGCAGTTAAATAAATATTACGCATACGCCATGTTGCTGCGCCCGTAGAGAAATTATGAGTATGTGCGCCAAACAAGGGCGACACAATGACTATATAAATCGACAGATGCGATGGAGGGGGAGGAGACTATCAACTGGCAGGCAACGAAATAAAATCTTTAAAAAAGGGTTCTGTGCATGTGTGTGTGCATTTTTTTAAGAGCTGAGCAGCAAAATTTATTCAGCCTGGTCCATACTAATATGCCGTTATTATCAGTGATGAAAGGGTAGCCAGGCGAGTCGGTCTTATGGGGGCCAGTGCACAGTTTTCGAGCCTATAGCTGAAAATAAATTATGGCTCGTTTTTTTTGTCTGCATGATGATGCCATTGTCACAGCCTGTATGTGTGTGTGTGTGTGTGTGGTGCATGTGATTGGGCGTAAATATTTTTCAGCTCGAAAGTATGCAACGAAATTGCCCGCACGCACATTAAATTGTCCACAACGCTGTCATTAACTTGGCTAGCCGGCCCACACAAATTGCTAAGCCTGCCGGCTACTGTTGCGCCCAATTTTTTAGCCTAATCAAAGTGATATTTTCCAGTGCTTTATATGCGAGTGGCAGTTTATTACCATTCCATAAACAAAAGTCGTTCTTGGCTTTTGAAGTTGCCGAGAGACACACATATATACATAGTATTAGTGCAGCTTCCGTTTGGTTAGCAGCCCACGTTTCCATTTAAAGGGGAAAAATATTCCCACTTTAAGCATACTTTTTGATCACGCACAAATAGTTTGCGGTTTACGTGTCCTTTGACTTTCAATTTAAACACTTAGCGAACGTTTGCGCTAAAGCCAACCATCTATGCAATTAATTAAGGCGTTGCCAGATCCAGCCGTTTGCCTTGCCCAGCACTGGCAGGGCGACATTGCCAGAAACTTCGTTACAGTTAACTGTTAGCGGTAAAAACAGAAAATGGTCCGAATTAAAAATGTTAAAAAATACAAAACGAAGCACTTTATGCATGGATCATTTAAGATGTTGAAAAAGGTTTGAATTACAAAAAAGTTTCGACGACGTAAAAATGCTGATGCTGTGCAGATTGGAAATTATCGTTATTCACAGAGCAGAGAAAACTTCATCAGCTTTTGGGGGCGTTCTGCTTAAATTCAATATTCTGTTTGCTTTCGATACACTGCTTACAAAGCGGAAAAGAGTATATTAGCTGTTGAGTAAGTTTGTCTATGTACTTTTCGACAATTTGACTTTCACTGAAAATCATCAATTCCGAATTACAAAAAAATTTTAAAAAAAATCCTCCCAAGGTCATAGTTTAAGAGCCGCCCTCTTAGGTTAATGTCACTCCATATAATCTTTTTAAGCTCTTATTACTGAGAACAGAGTATTGCGCAGTCGTTTGCGTCCGTTTGCTACGCTCTCGCTTGTTTCACTTTCGCCTTACTTTGAACATTGCCCCTTATCTTTGGTGACCGCTGCGACCACAGGATATTTGAACTCCGCTTTGGTTTACATTGCCGAAGCGCCGTAAAGTCAGGACCAGACATGAATTCATCATTATGCGTCCGTCACTGGTGCTGGTGTCCAGCTGGCGTGACGTCAACAGATGCCAAAGCGAAGAAGACAACGCAATTAGAATGTACGAGAAAATGACAAACAGCAGATGTTATTGGCACATGACATTCGATAGACGTTGACAAGCCAAACGGACAAGGATCGAGTGCAAGGAGCAAAAGATTTCACAAGTACACCAAGACGATGGGTTTAGTTATATCAAAATGGCTTTAATAAATTCCATAAAAAAGTGAAGCAATGCGATTTTGAACTTAAACTTTGACGCCGATTTCGCCCGGATTGAAAATCTTGACATTGCGATCGTTGACCTTGTAGAGCACCTCCTTGCGGGACTGCTCGCACGCATAGCTGCCCTCGTCCAGGACACGCTCAATCAACAGCCTGCCATCGACCTCGCGGAAGACGCCGCTCTTGAGCCGCAGCACCTGGATGCGCACATGTCCCAATTTGGCCACATTATTGTCCGTCAGCTGATGAATGTCGCTGTTGCTCAGCTTGGTGATGACCGTCAGATTCTCATGCTCCTTGGCCAGATCGGCCAGATCCAGGCAGAACTGTTGCACCTGCTGCTTGCTGGCGCCCAAATTGAATAATATGGACAGATTGTCAATCAATATGGTGTAGCTGCTGCGATTGGGAAAGTTGTTGGCCAGTTGGCTGCGTATATCCTTCACCAACTGCTCGGTTAGCGTTAGGCCATCCGGCGAGCGCAGCCACTTGGAGCTGAGGCCATGTCGCGCCATGTCGCTGAGCACATCGATGACATTGAGCGTCTTGTCCAGAAAGATGTTCGTATTGTAGCCGAGCCGCATGCCCGCATTGAAATAATGCTGATAATGATGCTGCAGACAGACGAGCAGCGTGCCCGCGTTGGAGATGCGCAAACGTTGCCCCAATATGCAGCTAATCAGGAAGCTGCCATCCACGTTGGACTCCTCGCTGATGTGCACGAAACCGGGCAACTTCTGTTCATTCAACCCGCACGCGAGCAGCACTGAGGCGGCCATAATTCAGACAAATCGTGCGTTGCTTGGAGCTGAAATTGCAAAACAACAAAAGAACAACTCAAGTGAATATGTTTCATCAATTTATAAATGCCATTAAATGTATTATTAATTAATTAGCAGTGTCATATTCGGCGACGGGTCACGTGCTGCGTGCCCCATGTTTGGGGCTACACAAGTTGACCGGCTGCGGCTGCGGCGGCGGCGACTTTCAGACTTTCTTTTTAATTTATTTACTCGGGTAAACATTTTCATTTTGTCACTTCATCATGGCTGTCAGCGGCACACGTAGCCAATAACCCGGCAATCAATGAAAACAAAGCACTCAAAATAATTTATTAAATGTTGATATAAGAGAAAAAAGAATACAAAATTACAAAAAAAAAATAAACAAAAACAAAAAAGTAGCTTGGCCCATGAGGGGATCGAACCCGCGACCTTCGCGTTATTAGCACGACGCTCTAACCAACTGAGCTAATGGGCCGTTGAACGATGCGCCGCCAAAAGCCCAGTTAAACTGTAAAGCACTCTAAAGCACCGTTGAATAAAAGCTTTTGCGAAAGCTTGCACGCGTTTTGTCAGCGTTTAAGGCATGCGTAAATATTCTGAACAAAGTTTAATTCGGTAAATTAAATATTTGAATAGACCAGCTAAAAAGCTGTTAAAACGTGTTTCCGCCATTTTTTCAGCACGCAAATAATAAAATCGTTTTAAAAATTAATATTGCATTTGCTTTTCGAATTATCTAGGCTATGTCTCTAATCTCTTCCCTGGCAACACTTTGTGCACAATGCAATCGCTTGCTTGTTTATCGAGCTCGAAACGCTGAAAACTTTTGTGTATTTTGTGCTGCAAATTAATTGCAAATAAACGTTCTAATGGAACCTTGACTCACAATACGAATTGCCTAATGGAGATATGCCGTTTAAATTACGAGCATAATTAGTACAAATTATGAAGGCATTTAATTTAAATGAATTGTTCATATATACTTGTATATATATTATGTAAAGCGGCGCCTAACAGCTGATCAATAATATTTTGTGTTTATTTTTGGCTTCCACATGGCCGATCGGGCGTTGATATTTTATTTCTTACATAAAGGGCATTTCAAATACATCATTTCAATAAGCCCAGCAGAACGTAAGGATGATGCGCGACTTAATAATACCCTGCAGCTATTCACGTGTGCATAAGGTAATACTCAAACTTGTAAATGTATACGGAAAGTATATAAGCACACATAGATAAAAACTGGTTGCTTCCGCTTTTCCATATGTGTTAATATATACTAAACAAATTAGCATCATTTCAATTGCTTTCTGGTATAACGAAATATAAAATACAAAATACGAAATAAACTCGACCTCCATTTCAGATTTCTGTGTTTAGATCCTATAGTCGACACCTCGGATGAACTATTGAAAACGAGCACACCTGTTATAAGTATTAGTGCACAAAAAAATCGAAATTCATTTAGTTATGGTATGCCTGCCTCCTTTTATGCACCAATTTAATTGTTTATTTTTTCAACTAATTCTTGAAGAATTCAAAACATGTTTTCTAATTTCACTCTTTAGCTATGTTTTTTGTTCTCAACATCTCAAAATGGGTGGCATACCATACTTTTGAGATACTCCGCTCTAGAATATACAATAAAAATAAAAATAATACCAATTTTTCTAGTTTTTGTAAGTTACAATTTCCAACTACCGTATATACAATATTCATACCGATTTGATTACATTTGGACACAGGGTATTAGAAACAAAAAAAAAAGTTTAGAAGCGATAACGAGTGGTCAGCCGATGAACGATTTGGGCGATATGACAAATTTGAACACAGCTACAAACGATTGTATACAAATGTACATATAAAACTAATGTGTACACAAAATGTATGCAAACCTTGTCGAGCGTGCAGCAAATTCTACCGTTTACTGCGCTTACATGGCAGATAATGTACACTAACATTTACTGTATAAGTGTACCATTGTAGAATGGAAACTCACACACATACAAACAAAGTGCGAGCAAGCGAAGGTTATGACAAGAAAATAAATAAATAAAAAAGCTCTCACCAATTTATGTTTAATGCACGCAGCACTCTCTTTCGCTCTCCCAACTCTTACGCTCTCGCACTATCGCTGGGTTGATTTGAATTTGATTGTGGCTGCCGGAGCGTCTGACAACTGACTAACTTAAGCCGAACCCGCCACACTTCTGGAAACATTTCCAAGCGACCGCCTTGACCGCGCTGTCACGCAAACGGCGATAAAACAAAACCAAAGCTAAACAGTTTACCGACTTAGACAAAGAGAGAGAGGAAAAGAGAGAGTGGCATAGTTTTGGACCGCCGCCGCCGGCTAACGCTGGCCGAAGCTTTGCCTGACGTTCAGTCTACACTCTGCTGACAGCGACGATCAGTACGTATTCAGTGCTCAAGCGACGAGGACGTCGTGTGGTGCGCGCCTCCAGCAGACGAGAGAGAGAGAGAGAGTAGGAAAAACTGGGCAAAGAACGATTCACAATATCCAGACCAGTTTTTCGCCGTCAATTGTGGTAATGAAACGCTGAAGTTCTTGCTCTCGCGCGTGGTGTTTGTTCGTGTGTGTGCTTGTGTGTGCTTGTGTGTGCTTGTGTGTGTGTGTGTGTTGGTGTGTATATCGGTGTTGCCAAAAATATTGAACTTGTTAAGACATTTTATAGCGGTAAACAACACGCGCCACAACATTTATTTCTCAATTTCAAGGTAAACTTTCAATTAGGTGGCTCGTCAATTCGATAACTGATGCAGCAATTGCCGTGATTTACAGTAAATTACAATTTACACACCTGCATATATGCATGTACGTAATTCAATTAAGCTTGTGTGCGCGGCAAACATGATTTACCAATATTTGTACAGACATCATTTTGATAGCAACAGCGAGAGAAATCATGGAACTATCACGCAACGTTTCGTGATCTACGGCTACGGAAAAATGTGACAATCAGCTGTTCCATAGCAGTAGACATACATATGTATGTACATATATGTATGTACGCACACATACATACATACATGCATATTTTCTAGTGGGGGCGCGGCAGCTTTGGCACTTTATATAAATCTATAAGCATGTTATTCTCATCGGATCATGTGATGTTTGTCGTTTTTTAGATACGTTTTAATTACTTGAACTTTGCTCATGGAACATTCAGTTTTATGGTCCGATAAAAAAAAACAAGCAAAATTAAGCGAACAAGAGTTGGTTCTTGTTTCTATTGACTTATCAATACCCTAAAAGGGTTATCTAAAGCGTGCTGTAAAATCACAAAAACAAATATCATTTCTTTACAACATTTTTCGAGCATTTGTAAAAACGATAATTCATTAATTTCTAACCATATAAGCCGCGCTTATCAGAAGCATATTCAAATCAAGAGATAACAAAATGTTCTTCAAGCCAAAATCCACTGAAATTTTGGCCAAACAACATAGACATCGTCTGATTTATAGACCAATTGTTGCACGTGGCGTGGTTCACACGAAATGTCTTTATATTAAATAATCGACAGCATCACAAACGCAAAACACAGCTACATATTTCATTTGCGATTTGCTACTATGAAATTTGTTATCACTAGGCAAGCGGGCAACAAATTGAAAGTCGATTAGCTCAAGCCGAACCAGCACACAGGGTCACATTTTGTTTTATGACTAAACACAAAATAATGTTAGCTAGGTATGCTAAAGATAACAGGCAGCTTATGAACCGTATTTATACAACATCAAATAAGGTTCTAAGTTGAACCAATTAGAATTTCCAATTGGGTCTACGACAGCAGAATACGCAAGTGAAGCGAAATCCAATTGAATTGCATACAGTAGTCGCTCGCAAATTAGACTTTGCATAGTTTAGAATTGTCTCGTAATTGGAATCGACATTTTTAACCATATTTTTCATAGTTTGCAAAATGGGCATATCGAAGTCTTTGAATTAAGTTTTTTAATTTGAATTTTTAAACTTAATAAAATCGAAATCATCAAATATAAAACATAACAAATATGCTTTATGTATATTTATTAATATAATACTATTAATTTATCAGAATTGGAAAAGTTTCCGCATAAATATTAGTATTTCGATTTATTTCTACATTCATTTATTTGAATATTTTGCAAAGAAAACAGGAAGTGCCAAAAAAACTGTACTTACATCTGTAGATTGGTATTTCGATGTGTTCAAAGACGGATATGATTATAAAAAGTACACATTATATATCCAAACACATATATACGTGGTTCTCACTTAAAATCCAGGTGCGCAAATTGCTTATCATAAGAATACAAAATATGAAATCAGGCAACTCTCCGAGTCGAAATAAAAACAAACAAATGCATGCATATGTATGTGTGTGTGTATTTTGGTTAGCTTCGACCACGTGTAGCTCAATGTCAATGCCGAAATAAAAAGCCGCACATAATGCAGCCGCACGCAGTAAGATGAGACGCATGCAAAATTAACAAATTGTTCGGCAACTTTATAACAGAGGCTGACGCGTCGTAATGCAGGCTAAGTGGTTAACAAGTAAACAGTAAATAAATATGTAAATAAATATTTATGCAATGTACTCACAAATCGAATGACACATATACTACCACCGCGCTCAGTGTTATGTATTTGCTGGCGGCTTTCGACAAAAACACTTTGTAATTTTACACAAAACAACTAGCGAACACAAACGAACTCAGAATGGCTGCATTTGGCAGTCAGCTGTGCGAGCAGTGCTGCCACTTAACAGCGGCTATTGTGACTAGTCAGCTTACGTTTCTAGTTGATGTGGCAAGGTTTACAGCAGTGTTGAGCAGTGCCAGATCTTAAAGGCGCGGGCAACAACGCAAGATGTGCTGCTACACGTCAACGTCATGGCTCAGCTGTTTTCAATTTTATTATCCTTAGCTTTTCATAAATTCAAGCGTAACCACGATGATGTAACCTCTCGGCCGCTGCATCGCTCAAAAATGTTGCGCGAACGTATTATTTAACTGAAGAAGTATTACTTTTTGGTAATCAGAGTTTAGCAAAATTGTGCGAAATTTTCATTAGAAACTTATCTTATTGATAAAACGCTTATGGTTACTTAAATTTTAACTTTCCGTTAACAGTCGTGCTCAACTAGCTTCACAAAATGGCCACCGCCGAGAAACATGCACGTTGGTACTTCGGTGGCATTGGCAGCGTCGGAGCGGCATGCGTAACACATCCTTTGGACCTGCTGAAGGTCACGCTACAAACACAACAGGGCAAATTGTCTATAATAAAGTTGGTGCCAAAAATCATACGGGAACAGGGCGTGCTGGCATTCTATAATGGTCTCTCCGCCTCGGTATTGCGCCAGCTTACCTATTCGACGACGAGATTTGGCGCCTACGAAGTGGGCAAAGATTTTATCAGCACTGACACATTTGGCGGCAAGATAGCATTGGCAGGAATTTCAGGTATGATTGGAGGTATCTTTGGTACCCCCGCCGATATGATAAACGTGCGCATGCAAAACGATGTGAAGCTGGCACCGGAACTGCGCAGAAAGTAAGTTATAACAAGGATTCTGTCTTGATTCAATCTAATAATGCTTGCTGTGTGCCCACAGCTACCGCTGCGGATTGGATGGCATTGTCAAGGTGTACCAAACGGAAGGCTTTACCAAACTTTTCGCTGGTGGCACCACAGCAACGGCTCGCGGCGTCTTTATGACCATCGGCCAGATTGCATTTTATGATCAGATTAAGTCAACTCTGCTGGCGACGGCCTATTTCCACGACAATCTGATCACACACTTCACGGCCTCACTGATGGCTGGCACAATTGCCACAACGTTAACACAGCCCATGGATGTGCTGAAGACGCGTTCGATGAACGCAAAGCCGGGCGAGTACAAGGGCCTATGGGATATTGTGCTCCACACCGCCAAATTGGGCCCACTTGGCTTCTTCAAGGGCTACGTGCCGGCATTTGTGCGACTTGGGCCGCAAACGATACTGACCTTTATGTTCCTAGAGCAGTTGCGGTTAAATTTTGGCTACGAGAAGAAAAGCCACAATATGTCCAATCAATAGTGCTAACATTCCAGCTGCAACTCGTCCAACAATATGAAGCGAGCACGACCTAGTTTTAGACAATGCTAATTTGAAAATTTGCTGCTGTGGCGATTTTATAAAATTCACATTTCTCATTTTTTTTTTTAAATATGAGGTGTTATCTAAATTTTGATCGAATTATGAACAAAATTATAAGTTATTGTTGCCTGTGTAGAAAACATCGCGCATCAAATTTATTTAAAAAAAAAAATGTTTTTAGTTTTAGCACCCCATAAAACATGTTCCAGCATCCGTTTCGTGTTTGGATAACATCGGCTTACGTGGCGAATGCGCAATATACGAGAATTGATCACATATAAACCCTTATAGCTAACCGATTGCCAAATCATTTTCCAGTGCAATGTCGGCATATTATGTGCATCTGGGCCTGCTGCTCCTCACAAGCTTTGTCCTGGTTCGAGCTGAAAGCGGTCGCATTGTCAAGCTGCGCAATTTTAAAAAGGTTCACGAGGACGAAAACTCTTTTCAAAGCAGCGTACAGCTCGGCGAACCGGATGATGAGGGCCACATTAAGCTAAGTGGCGAGATGACAACCCACGTCACCCTCGACAACGATTGGAAGGTGAGCCAAATATATTTTTAGGGGCGGCATTAGCCGGCTTTGCCCGGTTCACTTTTCCACGAGTGGAGAAACTTGACCACATTGTCCTACATTTTATTTCCATCCAGAAGGGTTGCCTCTTCCGTTTGAATTAGATGATCCATACAGATTTTTGATTTAATATATAAAAATTCTTAATATGTTTTCCGACTGTGTGGTTAAATTTTCTAAAATCGATTAGATATTTTTTAAAGTTTTGAATGGGATCTAGGATCCGATTGATTGGAAAACTTACAACCTAGCTCTTGATATGCGTTTCAAAGATCCGCGAATTAGTTTCTCGGCAGATCAGATGAAAATGAAAACGTTCTGATCAACCGTTTTTTGCAATGATCAAATAAAGTTAAAAATCATAAAGATATTTTAATACCCCTTTTATTTATTTAGTAAAGTATTTCTCAAAAAGCATGTCTCATATATGAAAATTATTGAATGTGGTCAAATGAAAGGCTTCCCGATTGTGGATACAAAACAAAACTCAAATTCTGCAGAAAAACCATTATCAATCGGACAGTCGTCAGTTAAGCTGTTTATGTATACATACTACCTGGTTTTGCCCGGTCCAAGCTTCTTTTCTCTTTTTCTCTACTCCTACCATTTACATAAATTGTTGTATCCCATTGAGTTCCAAAATTTAGTCCTGTTGTCTGAAGCCTGAAGACAAAAAAAAAACATTCATTTATGCTAACTTTGTCCTGCATTTTTCATCCAAGTGAAAAGATGAACTTTCACGGAGATCTTTGAACACGATTTCGATCGGTTGATAAACAAAAAAGTTTCATGCAACCGTTTCCCGCCAATTTTCCACACAGAAAGAGTGGATTTGCCAAAAAGTTGAAAACACATTTCAAATAAGTTTTCGTAAACATCTTTGCAAGTGGGCTTAATTCCGAAATTTCGCCCAAACAACCTGTTGGCCACTTTTTCTATCACATTGGCGACATTTCATAGAAATAACAACAATCTTTGCCCACCCATTTCCACCAAGGAGTTCCTTTGAAAATACGTTTGTTTGATTGAATAGTAATAAAAATAGATTCATGCGAAAGTTTCCCCCAATTTTCCATATTTGCGGGTGGAATTTCCAAAAACTCCATCTTAGCTTCTTCCTATCTCTTAGGTCAGTCAGTCGAATCAAGCAGTCTTATATATCATATAGATATTTTTGTACACATATCTTAAAAAACAATTAACTATTGGTATCGTAGGTGAATATTACACTTTATCGAAGGGCAAGCGATGACGATAAGTATAAAACACATATGGATTTGAGTCTTGGGTCTTGCGATCTGATGAGCACCTATTATAAGGACTTCTTCTATGAAAAGCTGAAGGACTATTCGAATGCGCCCCATCCCGACAACTGTCCCCTGGCGCCGAACAAGTTTCATCTCAAGGATTACCCTATAAATTTATTGCAATTTGGAAATTTTCTACTAACTGGCGACTATCGCCTAGTTGGCCAACTGGTCAAGGACGAGGAGCTCAAGCTAGAGTATCTGGCGGAATTTCAAGTGGAGTAAAATATGCTCAGTTATTGCTCGAATTTATTGTGCAGTTCCAAAATAAATAAAGAGCTTATTCGTAGTTGGACATCTGGCTGAGAATCTCATCGTAAACGTATTTCTTGGCCTCGGTGCCCCAAATGAAATCCAAATGTGCCCATTTCTCGAACGGCACCAGATAGTCCAGTGCCATGTTGGGCAGCTCATCGCGCAGTTTCCGGACATCGCTCAGATCGCACATCCAGTCGTTGGCACCATAGTAGAGCAGGACAGGAGCCTTGGCGTTCTTTAGCTTGTACTCGGGAGGATAGTAGCTGCCGTACTCGTAGGGATTGCGAATGACGGAATAGTCGAACTTGCGGAACTTGCCGGAGTTGTGCTCCTGGCAGAAGTGCAGATTCTGATTAACCGAGGCGCCGGCGGGCGAAGTAGCCTTAATATGCTCCAGCAGATCCTACAGAAAAGCAAACACTGGCATTTATAGGCATTCATCTAGTTATTTGAGGTGATGCAACACTTACATAGTCCAGTTGCTCGGAATCGTAGCCACCAATCAGGAAGATCTCGTTGGCACACATCTCGGCATAAGGTGAGGTAGCCTGGCACATTTCGATGCCCATATCCTGCTTAAACTTGTTGCTGGGCATGAACTCCATGGAGCCGCAGAGCTCAACAATGGCATTGGGCACGCCCAAAATGGGGGCAAAGGCACGGGTCAAGGGGCTCTTCATGTTGCCCATATAGGCGGCAGGTCCCAGCAGATGGGCGGACTTTATTTTGTCATTGTAGGCGGGCTTCTCGGACATCATGACCAGGTAGACAGTGGTGCCCTGAGAGTGTCCAACATATTGCACCTGTTTCTCACCGGTCACATCGAGAGCGTAGTCAATCATGGCGGGCACATCGTAGATGCCAATCTCGTTCCAGCTGAAGTTCCAGAAGATTTGCCAGAATGTGGGCCAATATTTGTGCGCCTTCGAGTACGTATTGCCACGGGCATTGCCCATCCAGACATCGTAGCCGGCATCAGATAGAATGTAGGCCAGCGCCTTGCCCGGACCCATCAGCACCCAATCGGAGCTGGAACTCAACATGCCGTGCATGAGAAAGGCAACCGGTCGCTGACCAGTGAAACCGGTCTTCGGGGAGTAGGGTATGCGATGCATGGTCAAAATGTAGTTGTCCTCCGTGACAACCGTGTGCCGCTCCATGGGATAGCCATCGTCCTCAATGCGTTCGCCCTGCACACAATTTATGGCTAGAAATTACAATCTTAACAGCTGACCCGAGACTTACGCAATCGGAGATGGGTCTTTGGCCAGCCAGCGCCAGACCCAGGACGCCCAATAGCATGGACGCGCAGATGATGTACCTTCTCATGGTCTCTTCTTGATGTATTTGGGTTCTATTGTGTTGAACTACGAAGTCCATTGCCTTATATAGGGTATCTGTTATCGGCCAATCAATATCTGAGATAGTACTCAGTGCTATCTATTGATAGTATTCCTTCTCAGACTGGGGTCTGAGTCAAAAAATTGTACACTTTGTTAACCCCCGCGAATTGTACGCTATGCGGAGCTGGGCCCTAATCAGTATTTTATTTTTTACTTTAGACACCTGAGTCTAATTTACAATTGCCCAATTCCACTGATACTTCAGCACATGTCTAACTTTAACGTCATTATTATTATACCCTGAACCCATTAAAATGGGTGAAAAGGGTATATTGTATTTGTGCAAAATGTAAATGTATGTAACAGGCAGAAGGAAGCATGTCCGACCCCATAAAGTGTATATATTCTTGATCAGCATCAACAGCCGAGTTGATTTAACCATGTCCGCTGTCTGTCCGTCCGTCTGTCCGTCCGCAAGGATATCAGAACCTTTAAGAGCTAGAGACTTGAAATTTTAGGTGTAGGTCCTCCTAGTGCCTGCGCAGATCGAGTTTGTTTCCGATAATCGATAATCGACATGCCCAGTTTCTAAGTAATCGATAAGAATCTATATTGAAATCCTGTTTTTTGAGCAATTTAGGTAAATAATAAGAGCTAGTCACCAAATTGATATGTTGCTACTAGTACTAGTACATATATATCAAGTATCTTTCATTTTATAGCTATAACTACCTCCCCGCTACTACCTCATGGCTATAAATCAAGTTTATAAACCAATTTATGCCGCCCACCAATATAAGACACAATTTAAATGCAATTGACTTTTTGATAATGCAAGAATATTCTATCATACAATAAAATGCAGAAAATTTCGTCAAGATCGGTTAAGATACATCTTAAACAAGTAAGACGTTCTAGTCGGAAACTCCCGACTAGGGGATACCCTGAACCCTCTTCTTCCAACATCAAAGGCATATATATATTTTATTTTAGAAGCTATATGTCAAGTTTGGTGACTCTAGCTCTTATTATATACCAAAATTGCCCAAAAAACAGGATATCGATATGGATTTTTATCGATTGCTTGGAAACGGAGTAAGTTATCGATTATCGGAGCATCTAAATTTGAAGTCTCTAGCTCTTATAGGTTCTGAGATCCTTGCGTTCATACATACGGACGGACGGACAGACAGACAGACGGACATGGCTAGATCGACTCGGCTATTGATGCTGATCAAGAATATATATACTTTATGGGGTCGGAGATGCTTCCTGCTGCCTGTTACATACATTTGGATTTTGCACAAATACATTATACCCTTGTACCCATTTTTAATGGGTACAGGGTATAAAAAAACCATGCGATTTTATACATACATATATATTGGCAGGCCACGAGTCAGCGGCAAAAAGTTGTTTTGTGGTCTTGTACTTGGTTTCAGGGTATTTTCTCGTCGGGCCCCCCCGACTAGAGCACTCTTACTTGTTTATATTTTATTTATTGTTTTTTGCAGAATTCTTTCAATCGTGCTTATATTATAGTCTGGTACTATAAATAAATAGACAGATAAGTGCAATCGTACGATCGCAATAAACTTTAGTTAAATTAAAATCATGATCTTTTTTATTATAGTTTTATTTTTACTATTTTGGAGAAATATTTGTTTGGGAACATCATCATGGCGTACGCATTGATTTCATAAAAATCCATAAAAATAATTGAGACATGTTTGCTTTTAAAATATTATTTAATTGAGCACGTTGAAAATGAGTAAAACCATTAAACACTGCAAATGTATGTTTCTGGCAGCAAAAAGCACCTCCGACTCCATTAAGTATATATATTCTTGATTAGCATCAATATTAGAGTAGATCTAGCCCTTGGTCTGTCCGTCTGTTCGTATGAACTCAGGAATCTCTGAACCTATACAAATTTTGAGCTTGGGCTCTCCTAGTGCTCGCTCCTGGTCAACTAGTCTCATAATCACGAAACACGTTTGCAGCAAAAATAATTTGTAATTAAAAAAAAAAAAATAATCTTATTTTATCTGTTCTTTCTTTGAGCAAAATATTTTTGGAAACATCATCATGGATCTGCCAAAATATGCCATCGATTTCTGAAAGTCTTCTTTGGGTCAACGCAGCACATAAACCTAATCGAGACATGAAAATATGCATCTAAAATATTGTATAATTATCTTAAGATTAAGTTCTTTTCATATATATTTTAGCTGTTTTGATTTCGGGAACATCACCTTTTGAATATTCTATGGATTTCTATGCTTTCGGACCGACAACGTTTCACATAAACATAATCGATAGCTAAACATATTCATCTAAAATAAAAGCCATATATTAACTTAAATTAAATAAAGTTCAGAGCTTTTCCTTTATTTTGTTATCTGTTCGGCTACTTCCGGAACATATTCGTGGACCTGCTATTGATTTCTGTACCTTCAGATCTTGGGTCCATGACACAGGTCTTTCTACAAAAACCTAATCGAGACAAACATATGCATCCAAAATAATATTTAATTAAATTAAAATCAAGACTGTTTACTCTTTTCCATACCGTCAGACAGAGAGATATGGGTCTAGGTCAAAGCTTTGCATAAAGATAATCGAGCCATAAGCATACGGATCCAGAGGTATACTTCCTTTTTGGTGTATGCTGTTATATCGGGAACACAATCATTGACCTGCTATTGATTTCTATACCCTCGGAACACCTGCTATGGGTCTAGGTCAACGCTTCATACATATAATCGAGACACGTATGCAGCCCGAATATTATTATATTGATTTCCAGAGATTCCATATGTATATGTCACATATTTGACACGGATCCATGACGACGCGACCACAACATTCAAAATTGTTCCTCAAGCAAACCGAAAACTAGACATATGACAATTTATTAGATACTGTTGCGTTGGCGTGAAAGGATTCAATTTAAATCGAACATCAAAATGAAGCATCAGCAAGTTGTTGTGGACTATTGGACCATGTTGAAGACGTCTGCACTCTGTATACTGTTGGCCATAACGGGCTTTATATTCCTCAGGTTGGCTATTTCCAATCAAATATGGTAGTAAAACTTTTGGACTGAAAGACGACGACGATTTGAAATCTTTCAGAATGGTGCAAACGATATTTTGGCTGCCCAAACGTTTCAAGCAGAACCAGGAGCGACTGGAAGCCATAGCCAAGCAATATGGCAAGGACATGGATCCGGAGGAGCGTGCCGAAATTGAAAAGATCTTCGACAGCAACGAGCCCCTAACAGAGGAGCAGATAAATAAACTGCTGGAAGGCTCGAGGACCGCAGGCGCGGAGCCCAAGAAGCAACAGTAGTTACTAACTATGTATGTTAGGACTTATACTAATAATAATTAAGTATATCATAAAAGAGTTTGATTTGTTTTTAAACAATATACAGCATATATATTATTAGAATGTATATTTGAAACAATAATTCTGTTGTTTCTTTCTTCTACATATACACATACACATTTTACGTTTGAACAATTGAAAATTAATTGGCCAAAAAAAAGAAGGTAATTCAACAAATAATTAAACAATTCTCAATTAATAAGCAACTTGTTAGCTATGTATTTCTGCGATAGGGTACATGTACGTATGCATATATATCTGGGGACTTACGATAAGGAACAAAAAGTATATATGTATATATGTATGTATATAAGCAGTTCTATTTGCTACTGATATATGCGGACTTAAAGCCCTTTCCTGCTTCATTTTAAGTATTTAAGGGGGAGCAAATAACGATGCCTCAACTAACAAAGAATATTATCATCAACTTCAACCTCTTAAGTGTTGCCAACTAACTCATATCAAATATAAGCAAGCATACCAATATTCTACAAATATATATGTATATATATATTGATATATATTCGATTTTTAAATAGCGCAAGTCTCTCTTTTGTTTGGTTGATTTTGTCAGAAACGGATTTCTTCGCTTGCTTCAAAAATTTCGCATTTATTTTGAATATAAAAATTTTGCCTTTTCTCGCATTTTCTAACCTGCCAAAAATATCACGAGACTATTTTGCTATTTTACACTTGATAAAAGCGAAATTAAATTGTGTTTTTTCATTTTTATAGAAAGTTCAATTTTGGACCAATTCCGAGAGAGCGCATTTCTGTCTTTGTTTAACAACTTGAAACAGAATACTTATATGGATCTGTTTTGTGTAGCTGCTAATAACTTTAGTTATTTTTCAGATTATTAGATTATTAGTGTATATATATATATGTATATACTCTCGATAACGTTTACAAACTCCGATCGCAACGCTCTATTGGCCGGGAGTATGCATTGGAAGCCTGAAAAATGGATTGGCCAAGTTAACACGCGCTGCTGGCAATAGCTCCGGATGTTCGGTCAGAGTGTCCGACAATGCGGTGAGCAGCACCCCTGGAGCATAAGTTTTGATGAAATGCAAATTAATTTGTTAAATATTATTAACATTTAACTTACGTAAGACTTTCTTTTGCAAATCAACAGGTATAACACCCAGGTTGCCCTCACGCTCCAGGAACTCGGTTAGCTTCTGCAACTCCTGTTGGGCCTCATCGGAACCATGTGCCAGGGACTGGGCAAACATTACCTTGAGGGTAAAAGTTACTATGTACTTTACCATGTACCGGCAGCTAAGTTCGCTAGGCAACTTACCTTGGCCAATTTATACAGTATTTCTTCTAGGCTGTACTCATTGTACAAATACTCAACGATTTTGGCGCGACCCATGGTATCATCATAATCCGTAAGATCTAAAATATACATTTGGTATCAATTCAGGTGTGGAATGTTTTCAGTTTCCGCTTACCTTGAGGACTCTCGTTCTCAAGCGCCTTGAGCTTGCTCCAGAAGGTGAAGCTGTCCAGCGATTTGCCTCGGCCTACCTCAGGCGTTACCCCCTCCGAATCGATTTCCAGGTGAATGAATGGCTTCTCCGTGGTCGTGCTAGTTGTGGTTGTTGTGGTCGATGTGGTTGTACTGCTGGGCTGACTATTGCGCTTCAAATGATTCTGACGCAGCTCCTCGGGGAAAATGCGATTGGTATAGGAGCGCTGCAAGAACTCAATTCCCAGACGAATATCACGCAAAAACTTCAGAGCGCTCTCCCTGGTTATCTGCAAAAGGTGCAAAGGTTATATAGATAAGCTTTGGATATAAATAGAATAGTATATGTGTAAATTAACCCTAACCCCTGAACCCAGCCGAACTTCCTTCAAATATATTCTCGACACACACACACACAGGCTTTGCTTCTTCTTCCCTTAGCCCCGATAATGGATAATGCTTTGCTGATTAACTGACGTGTTTATTGTTCGATCCTTATGCAATTTCAGGGCATAAATACTAAAGCCCAAGACAATACCTGTAAAAATGCGTTTTACACTTTTGTGAGTAACGGGGTGAGTTACTCAGAAAGTGAGCTATTCTGGATCTGGGTATACTATACGAGTGTCTACAACTTTGGTGTCTCTAGCTCTTATAAGTTCCGGGATATGATTATAAAGCAGAATTTCGATAACGATTCTTATCGATTTCATGCAAACGGGCCAAGCTATCGATAATTTGAGCTCAACTTAAACTGCTTCAAATTTCTCTAGCATATCTCCAACTCCTGTGGTTCTTATTTGTAACCCATTCTTGCTAGTGTATAAAATGGACATGATAATTGGTGTGCTAATGGATGTGGAAGGCCAGATATTGGTTTGCTTATCGGACTTATAGATAGATAGATAGATACAAAGACCCACCAAATTCTCATCGATAAGTTCCTCGACGGCCCTAGCAACGCCCGTCTCATCGCCAGTCCAGAAGACGTATTGAGCCATATCGAAGGAGGAGTACTGGCCATTCGGATTGCGCAACAGACTCTGGGCGGTCTGAAAAAGAGAGGAAGGAAAAGGAAAGGAAGAAGCAATGTCAGGGCATATTCAAAGTAGTTGGAGAGGTGGACACAAAAGTGCGGGTTGTTTCGAATAGACATATGAATTTAGTTGGGTTAGCCAATTCGTTGCCGATATGTATGGATTGCTTGAGTAGTCATAAGAACCTTGGCCGTCATATGGGGCATGCCGGAGCGCCGTTCGGTGGTCTTGGCCACCGCCTCTAGCTGATCGATCAATATGTCGCCGATTGTCTCCTTGTTGACATCGTGATTATGCTGGGACCCAGGCAATTTATCAGCTGTGGCAGCTGTTGCCTCTGTCTCTGCGGCGTTCTCCGCTGGCTCGCCACCCAAATCCTCGACAGGTTGGGCATCGCGTTCGACCGATGCCGCTTCTGTGCTGGCAGCTGGCGTTACAGTTGTCGTTGTTGTTGTTGTTGTTGTTGTTGTTGGGCTTGTGCTTGTGGAAGTGGGCGTGGGCGTGGTCGTAGACGTAGACGTGGACGTGGACGTTGTTGTGGACGTGGGAGATGTGGGCAACACCTCGGGATTTTGGCCAAACGCTAGACGCGCTGCACCGTAGAAAGCCTGTTGATTTTTGGGTGGTTTCGTGGATATACACTTGGATTTTCAAAAGACACATATTGGCATTTACAAGACACAAGAATGGGCATACATACATAAATTGGCATATGGAAGAGGACTTAAGCATGGGCATGGGCTTTTACCTTCGCATGTGCGCCCGGCTCGGTCGCCGGCTTTCCAGCCGTTTTCGGCTCCTCGAGCTGTGAACGTTCGCCGTCATCCTTAAAGGCCGCCGTAGTCGTGGTGGCCGATGTGCTTGTGGTGGTTGTGGTCGACATTGACATCAACGGCGTAGCCACCTCCAGTTGTCGCTCCAGGTCGGGGATCAGATGCAAGTTATGATCCTTGCCGCCCGCCTCCGGAGGGGCAATCACCTTCTCAATGCTCTCCTTAGTGGTAGTTGTTGTGCGCACCGTGCTGCCATCATGCTGGCGCTTGCCCACAACTGGCTGAGGCTCCTGCCGCAGCTGATCCAGCTCGACCACATCGTCCTCGATCAGTGGAAAGGTGGCATCGCCGCGCTTCGAAGGAGCTAAGCACACGGATGTATGTCTATGTATCTATTCATATATGTAGATACTTGTAGCCTACTTACTGTAGATATATGGCAAGAGCGCTGGATAGGCCTGAGCTAGGCTGCAGCTGGCCACCAAGACGGCCGCCACGAATCTATTGCCGAGCATAACGTAAGCGCGAGCTGAAAATTACATTCGACGTAATCCATTTTATTTGCTGCCAAAAATTGATTACACACATGTACAAAGTAAGCCTCTGCATGTGTGTGTGTGCCGTAAAGAGAGCAGAGCACAAATACACGCACAAAAATGCAAATAAATAATGCTAAAAATAACACAAGAAATCGATAAAACAGCGGCAGTAAAAACGGCCAAACCAAAGCTGACCCAAACAACAAAAACCTACAAGAAATAACACTTATTTTCCTAGTGCCGCATACTAAATACCCTTGCTGACATATGTTTATACATCAGGCTCGGCCAGCTTCAATTGTCGACTGATCGATATGAAAGCTAAATACATATATAGTGTAGTACCCTAATATGGCTAAAAGCAGAGCAAAGTTAAGGTCAAGTTTGGTCCAGAGTTAGGCAGATAGTTCCCATGGCAGTTTCTATATCAAGAAGTTGCAGAAAAGCAACTCTAGAAAGTGGATACCAAGTTTGGTCTAGATTTAATCAGATAATTCCCATGATATGGAAATTGTGATTAAACGTACTGCAGAGCTTATCTTTACTTTATTTGGTTGCGATATTTTACAAAATAATGCATGTTTCTAATAATTCCAATAGCAGCTATATCCGAATATATGCCATATCCGAACCACAACATAAATATAAACATTTGGTATAAGCCATCCTTAATCACGGTAAATGAAATTCTAGTTTACTTGGCTTACTTTCGCATATATATAGTATACATACTTTATAAAGTGTGACAAAATGAGTATGCCCTTTGCAAGGGTATCACAACAAGGGGCCGCAACAACAAGCTTGGGGCTTGTCAATGGAGGCGACAGGGCTTGAAAAAGCGAAACACGCCAACTTTGATGTAAAGTGAACTTTATGCTGTGGTCCGCAACTGAACCACCCAACCAGCCACAATCACACACACACACACACACACACACCCACAGTCTCACACTAATACGCAGTATATTTAGTGGATTGGCCACAAAAGCGTATTATCGATGCATTCGGGAGCACTTGAGCACGTTCGAGCCTTAAAAACCACTTGGTGTTGCAGTGGGCCAGTAAAAATGATAGCACTGCCAAAATTATGTTACAAATGCAGCACAAGCATGCACATATACATGCATGCATGTACACACACCCACACACATACACTAGTACATGTACAAACGCGTTGCAAAAATACACGATAAGGCAACGCTCATAAGTGTGCTATATTTATACAACATAAATAACAGTATGTTAACATAACAATATGCTTTCTCAGCGAACAATTTAGAAAATTTACAACTTAGTTTTACACTTTTACCTTAGTACCGTATAATACTGTAAAAGGCGTCCTAACCGCACGAAAGCAGACAAGACTCTGACCCGAGAGCTGCTTGCATATTGTTTGGCCAAAAAATTGAAAGCTCGCTCTTGCCGCTTAAGCTTTGTAACCCTCTAAAGCCAGTGGGCAAAAATCCGTACGCTGCAAGGACAAAAGCTCCGTTGAAAGCTTGAGTCTCCGATAAATGTGCTTACATATGTTTTTCGAGCGCTTGTTTCTTAACTATGTTTATTATCATTTAAAAAAACAAATGCACAAAATTGATAATCGGTAACATTTAACTGCAGCCCGGAAAGGGATCCACGCGATTTTTCCGCAGCACAAATTGAATTTTTCGATTCATGTCCTCGTTGTAGATGGCTTTGCACTTTTCAAAATTTACACGACGGCGCACCTGTAAAATAGCAAATATTAGTAAATATTTAAAAACCTTACATTGATTGTGAACGCACCTGGTAGGGCTTCTCGTAGAAACGCGTGCGCCGAAATTGATCAAAGATTTCCTCCTTGCCGAGAACGCGATTTAGCAAACGGCACGCCTCCTCCACGTTGTTGTTATGCACGAACACTGTGCGTGCCAAAAATTGAGCATGTCTCATTTTGATTTTTTATTTAGACTTTAGTTTTTAATTTGCTGTTTATTTCGTCCGAGTTGAATAACCAGGTCGCAATAGACAGCTGTTGTAAGCAGTGTGACCGTATGGTTAAAAGCTCATGGGGCTGCCAGACTGCGCATTTTTAACAGGGCTGCATCTGCAGATAAATGACTCGTTACTATGACAGTATTGTTACCTATAAATATTGTTATATTTCCCACCCCTAATATATTCTCGATCTTTCATACAACAAGCGTGGCGGATTCATATAGCGATAGCAGGCTACTGAAAAAGTATTCGAAATAGATTAAAAATTGTAGTAAAAGTGTAACTCTTAAAGCGTACTGAAAAACGGTATACATATATAAATATATATAACTATTAGAACAAATACTCGAATACTCGGCGAACTACTGCTAAAAAAGGTGAGAGCCACTAAGCAATGAACTAATTATTTCCGCAGGCATTTGCATTGTGTGTGTATTTGGTACTACATTATTGCCCACTCTTTGTTAAGTAATCATAGGTAATTGTAATTTTTTCCTACGCAAGCACTAGGTGAACTTTGGTGCGTCGATGCACTGCTGCACATTTTGCAAAATCGATTCAAGCCGTTGGCGATAGCTGAATTTTCTTTGTCTCTACCCCAATTACTTTCCTCTGACGCAGCGTCCTGCGCGGCACATGTTTCAGCTTGTGCACACATACAAACGCGTGAGTATGTACATGCATGTGTCTGGCAGGGCGCTGCAGCTTGCACAATTGACAAGGGACCTACGAAAATCGCACATAAATCAATAGAAAATTCTACAGCGTTTTCTTTTTTTTTTTTTTTTTGCACGTTGCTTTTCACCTCGTCATTGTGTTGGTGTGCTTTTTTCACATTATCATGCGTTTGCTTTGTGCCGCTGTTCGCGCAGGGGCAACGGTTACAGTGACCAGGGCTGCGTAATGCTGACGAAATTTTCTAGAAGCTTATGTACATATATACTTGTGCTCGCGTGTGTGTGTGTGTGCGCGCGTTGGTGTGTTTGCGTCAATACAATCGTGCGCCAATGAGTAGTGTGAGGTGCCCGAGAGAGAGGGGCAGAGTCAGCTGTGTGGCGTCGAAGTGGTATCCAAAACCGAACATAAAAGCGAATTGAAATAGAAAATTTCTAGAAAACGTGGTGCTTTGCCAGCGCATTATCTACTGACCTTGATTTTTTTTTTTATTTTTTGCATGCCGGAAGCACCAATTACACGCACAACCAAAAACCAAAAATTTATAAATATATGGCAACCTGAGTAATCGAAATTTTGTAATCGTTTGTGCTTGCAGTTAAAGTTTTAAAAGCAACAGCTAAAATGGTCAAAGAAACGGGCTATTACGATCTGCTGGGCGTGAAGCCCAACGCAACACCTGATGAGCTGAAGAAGGCCTACAGAAAATTGGCCCTGAAATACCATCCAGACAAGAATCCTAATGAGGGTGAGAAATTCAAAGCCATCTCGCAGGCGTACGAGGTGCTCTCCGATGCGGACAAGCGTCAGGTGTACGATGAGGGCGGTGAGGCGGCCATCAAGAAGGGTGGCGCCGATTCCGGCGATTTCCGCAATCCCATGGACTTCTTTGAGAAGTTCTTTGGCGCCGGTTTTGGCGGTAGCGGCGGCGTTCGTCGTCGTGAACGACGCGGCAAGGATGTCGTTCACCAGATGTCCGTGCAGCTGGAGGAGCTGTACAATGGGGCAACGCGTAAACTGCAGTTGCAGAAGAATGTGATTTGTGACAAGTGCGAGGGTCGCGGCGGCAAGAAGGGCAGCATCGAGAAGTGTGTGCAGTGTCGCGGCAACGGTGTCGAGACACGCGTGCAACAGATCGCGCCCGGCATTGTGCAACACATCGAGCAGGTGTGCCGAAAGTGTTCCGGCACCGGTGAGACCATACAGGAGAAGGATCGCTGCAAGAACTGTAACGGACGCAAAACTGTGCGAGAGCGCAAGGTGTTGGAGGTGCACATCGAGAAAGGCATGCGGGATGGTCAGAAGATTGTATTTACAGGCGAGGGCGATCACGAGCCCGAATCTCAACCGGGTGATATCATAATATTGTTGGACGAAAAGGAGCATACAACTTTTGTACATGCCGGCACGGATCTAATGATGAAAATGCCACTCCAGCTGGTCGAGGCGTTGTGTGGGTTCCAGCGCATTGTCAAGACGCTGGATGATCGCGATCTGCTGGTGGCCACGCAACCTGGCGAAGTTATACGACATGAAATGACCAAGTGTATCGCAGATGAGGGCATGCCCATATTCAAGAATCCCATGGAGAAGGGCACGCTAATCATACAGTTTGAGGTCATTTTCCCCGATGTGATCAATCCATCAGTTATACCGACGCTCAAGCAGTGCTTGCCACCGGCGCCAGAGATTGACATTCCAGTTGATGCAGAGCATACAGTTTTGGTAAGTCAAACAGAGCTCTTTCACAGTACTCTAGCATAACTAATGTAATCGTTGTCTACGAATTTGCAGGAGGACTTTGATCCCAAACAACGCCGCCAGCAACACCAGCGCATGGCCTACGACGAGGATGAGGGTGGCTATCAAGATGGACCGCGCGTTCAACAGTGCACATCCAGTTAAGCGGCCTACACTTAAAACTACTACACAAAACGGAAACAAAATCTAAACAAAAAAAAAAAAAAACAAAAAAACAATGTCTATATCCAATCCAAGCGATATGGAGTGTGTACGCTCGCCCTGCGTTCTATTGTAACCCAAATCAAGACGTCTTAACACCCCGAATCTAAACCAGTTGCTGCCCCCTGAACACAGGCGCGCCTAACAGAACAACACCTGGCACCACACCACCTCCAAAAACACCAACCACTATAGCACCGGTACCACCATCTTCGGGTGGCATTCGCATTCATTGTAATATCCCAAGCAAAATACACTCGCAAACATTTAACATAAACAAGCCGAAATTTAAGAAACAAATTTGAAGTTATATGGCTTAGGATCAGAGATTTGCTCTTCAGACTACGAGATATGCTAATTACGATATTTAGGTATAAAAACAAAACAAACAAAAATACTTATCAAAATATGCACATTTTTAACGCGTGGTTCGAAAACTATATATATATAAAACTATAAGTATATTGTTTTATTCCGTTTATGTTGAGTTGGATATGAGTTCACAATAGGAGCCCCAAAACAAAAACAAAAAAAAAAAACATGAAAAACAAAAACAACCTTAAATCAGTCGCCACTAGAACCGCATATTAAAAGTCCGCGCACGATCGCGTCTAGGAACAAGTTTAAGTTATTTAATTCCAGCATAAATAAAAGCGTTAGATTAAACGGATATAACAAATAAAATAATTAATACACAATTTCAACCTTAAACTGTGTGCATCCATTTTCTTATTTCAGTTCGTTTTCATGTTGCGGAAATAAATTAATAGAGCGGACGCTCAGCTTCCGAGTTAATGTCAAGTGAAAAGTTCGGATAATATATTAGAAAGTTAATAATTGAAAACTAATTTCAAATGGATTTTAAAAGTATTTTATAATGCGAATATTAAAGAAATGGAATATTCTTCATCCTTTATATTACTGATCGAGCTCTAAATAATTTTGATTTACTGCAGCGGTATTTTTTCCAGATTATGTTACGTACAAGATTACTTTTATTAAAAATGTATATTGCCTTAACTAGCTCAGGATATTATAGCCCGATCTATCAAATATATACCTTCTTAGTCTCGTGAAGCTCATGGAATATTTTCAATTGTAAAATTGTTAATTTTACTAATTGAATGCGAATCCATAGTCCTGATCCGCACAAGTCCAAAAAGGTATATCATTGGACCAGCTGACTTGAATTATCTAGAAAGTATATAAGTCCGCATTCTGATCTATTTGTTGATGACCCTATATGATTATCATCTAATACACCATAGTTTAGTTTTTAAAATGTGTTACCAATTTATTTACAAACATGGTAGAAAGTAATTAGAGCAATTATAATAGGTCAAACTAATGCGCAAAGTTACGCAGTGCTGCGACGACGCCTGTGCCGTAGATGAGTTTGCTCTCGATGCGCTCCCAGGCCAACTGTTGCACCTGCGAGACGCTGCGCAGGGACTTCATGAGCTCTGGTGATTCAGTTAGGCTGAGGCCGTGAGAGCGCAGATAAACGCTTAGATAGGATTGCGCCAGTTCAAAGTCTTGATTCGTGCCAAGCATAAACTCGATGAGCTTGAGGAACTGCCGCATGGCGAGCATAGTGCCGCCAGCGTCGGGATGCAGCGATTTGATCTCAAAGTCCACCATTGACGGACCCAGTTGGGTGATGTGCTGCATGGCGGGATTGAAATCGTTGCTTGTGGCAGTTGCCTCCAGCAGCTTGCCAAAGGCGGTTAGATTGTTGAAGGAGGAGACCTGCAGCAATCGGGAGCCATCGTTGCTTGTAGGCGCGTTGCTAACATCGAAGCGCATCTCCAAGCCTGACACTGTTGGCAGAAAGAAGGGCGCTTGTTTGGGCCCTTTGGGCGGTGCCTTCGGTTTGTTGCGCTGCTTAATTAGCTCCAGGTCGAGCAGATTCTGCCAGCGTGAGGCAGCCAGGCCTGACAGTGTAATCAGTTCGGGCGATAGCTGCTTGGGTGTTTCGTATTTGGCATCAATCTCCTCGCCTAGCTCCACATTATCCTCGTCATTGTCAATGCCCAGCTCCTGCATGACGTCTTCCAGATCCATGGCATCGCAAATATTTGTGGGCAGACCCACATAGGGTGCAGGCTCGTTTGGATCAATGGAACGCAACGAAATCTGATTGAACAGCGTCTTATTTGCCCACAGGTAAATACCGAGCAGGTTCACATGCGCCGTGGCCAGAAAATCGCCACTGGGCGACATGCTCAGCGAGATACAGGGACGTTCCACGCGAAAGTGATCAATCATATACGATGAAGGTATATCCCACACTTTGATAGTAGAGTCCATGGAGGCGGTAATAAGCCAACGACTGTCTGGACTAAAGGTCATATCGTTGAGCTTTGCCGTGTGGCCAATGAACTTGCGCACAATTACGCGCGTCTCCATGTCCACCACATAGATCTTAAATGTGTCCAGGCCAATGGCCAGCATGGAGCTTTCGCGATGATGCCGCATCAGAGCAACGCCGTCCGCCAAACGCAGCACGGCAGTCGGCTTTTGAGCTGCGGAATAAACAAAAGCTTGGGTTTGTTGGTCACGAAGTCAGTTTCAGCACACACTTACTATTGCCCTTGAAATGCCAGAATTTGACGAGACCTTTGGAACAGCCAGAAACCACATACTGATTTAAGTTGTCGCAAGCCAAACCACGCACAGCTGCCTCATGCGCCGGATGGAGCCCGCCATAGCTTAAGCGATGCAAGCCGGACTGAATGTTGAACCGCTCCACATCACCGCTGCTGTAGCCAATGATGACAAAGTTGCCGCAGTTGGTGGATATGATGCATGTGGTCTCGCTTTGGAAATTGACGCGATTTTTGTTTTGAAATTGTTTTGGCACCAAGCGATGCTCGCCTAAACGGCTTTTGTGAAAGGTCCAGGTGGTCGTTTGTATAATGCCCGCATGTATGGCGGCAATGTTGTCCCATTCCTTTTCGCGCGCCACATCTGAGGTGAACTCCAGAATTGGCGGCATGCTGTACTTATCGTACTGAAAGCGATCTGTGAATAGCAAGTGAATTGGGAGTCAAAGAGGGACAGAGAGAATTTGGATTGATTAAATTACTTTTCTTCTTGGTCGCCTTGGGATTGTAGGTGGCTCTGCCCATGCTCTTGTTAAGCGACTCCGAGATGGTAGAGAACACACGTAGGGTACTATCCTCTCCGGCAGACAATATGGAAACACCGGTGCCGCCATGGTAGCGTATGCAAAGCGGTGGCTTTGTGTGACCCTCGCGTATGCGCAACTGGCGTGCGCCACCATCGGACATGTCGAATATAAAGAGCTTCATGGAATTGTCCGGAGATGTGGTGAAGACCACTGGTTCGCTGGGCAGGCATATAGCCGTGGTCACCTGCTCCTCGTGCGCCTGCAATTGGCCAGCCAATTTATGCTCCTCCAAGTTCCAGAAGGCCATATAACCGTTGCTGCAGGCGGATACCATTATGGGCGGACCATCTGTACGAAAAGCCAGCTGAGTGACCAGGCCCCACTCCTGCTTGAAGGCCATCAGCACTGTATCGAATTTCAGATTCAAAACAATAATTGTGCCATCAGCATGCCCAACGCCCACCACATCCACTGCTGGCGCCGGCTCGATACAGGTCACCCGATTGGGATGGCGACTGAGGGTGCACACAATGCTGTTTTTACTGATGTTCATGATCTTCAGCTGGCCCTGCTGTGAGCCCAGCACAATTTTATTGACGTAGGTGGGCGGATGAGCCAGAGCCGTTATCAGGAACTCGTCCTCCTTGAAGGGCACATCTAGATAGACATCGTCCGTGGGTATGTTCCACACTTTCAGCACATTGCCGCGGTCCACGGCAATCAGGTTTCTGCCAAAGGGCAGCAACAGATGCACATCACGCTCATGACCACGATACACGTGCCGTATGTGCTTGCCCGCGCGCCAGGCATAGATGCACTTGTTGCTGGCCGTGTACGTGTGCAGTCTGTCCGTGGCCAAGGCAGTTATATCGTCGGGGTGCAGGCCGCTGACGTGCAGCAGACGCAAATGGCTGGCCGTGTACACCTGAAAGGAGCGGCCGATGCATGTAATCAGCAACGTGTCTCGACGGCGCTGCACATAGCGCGTCACGGCTGGCACTTGGTTGCTGACATAGCCGAGTGCGCGGTTTCGTCGGAATATCTGGCTGCTCTCCCTGATAACTCCCCGGGATTCTTTCTCCTCCGATACTGAACTGTCCTCTGCGCGCAGATGCGTCATTTTTAATTTAACTCAAGTGTTTTTCTTTGATATTTTAATAATCTTTTGCGATTCTCATGTTTACCCGCAACATCAGAGCACGTGTGTTAAACCTGAAACAGTGTATTCAAAACTGTAAATCAATGTTAACATAACAGAGCAATGCTTTCAAAACTGTAAGTCGGCTTAAAGACTACAATACTTGTCAAAGAAATGTATGTATGTGTTCACTTCACGAAATTAAAAAATGTAATCAAACTCTCAACAAATCGTGATATTCATAATAGTGTGTACTAAAATACTTATGTTTGAATGCGAGTGTTAACAGAATGTAAAGCATGCATTCGGGAATACTAAACAGCTGTTGAAGCTATCGATAACTATCGAAGTGTGCGCGTTTGTATATAACAATATCGAGATATCGACTTCTTAATTCCTTGTCATCGAACATGACAGTTTTATTTAAATGCCCAAAAATATTTGTGTAGACAAGAACTAAATCAAATAAATTAAACGCTCAATTAAAATATTTTCAATTTTGAATTTCGTTTTTATTAAATAACTCGCATATTCGTAAACATAGATTTAATAAAAGCTCTGGTGACCATTTAAAGTTTTCGGTTATTTTGAAATAAAATTTGTATTAAGTAATACTACAAACTGCATATGTGCATAGTCTTTCGATTGTTTCATACAAAAGTTAATAAAATTTTAATAAAAGCACTAAAAAACATTTGCCATAGCATTTTTCTTGTATTTTATTGAAAACGTTTTTGTTAATTTTTTTTTTGTACACCGAAATTTTTACCAGCCCTTAAAAATTTCAGTTAATTTTCAACTTTCACAGTTTATGCAATTAGGAAAAATGTCTTGCGCTATGTGTAGACACCTATGAAACAATTTTAATTAACATTAATAAGTAGTTGATAATGTTGTTGTTGTTGCTGTGTAAGCAGCTGTTGTTGTTGTTGTTGATGTTGTTGTTGCAGCTTGGGAAAGTGATTCATGTGGTTCAATTGATGCTGTAGTTAATGCCAAGTTGGATTTCGAGTTTAGTTAAGCGCGTTGAGCGCAACTTCGCGGTTAAAACTCTCGCCGGAACTTGAAAGCGGGTAATCCAGCTCACCTAGACGAGGTACTGGTCGATGCGGGCGGTTAAACTGTAATTGGAGAAAATGTTGTGCACTTGGGTATTTGTCATGTGTATAAATTTTGGTGTTCATTAACCCACCCACGACTTCATTATTTTGTAGAGCACTTGACGCGACGGATAATCGTCGAACTCCGGTTCGGGCACAGCGGGCGCCTGTTCATTTGCTGCCAGCATTGGCAGCAGGCCATTTGGACGCACAAACTCCTGCTCGAGGCCAACGGCATTGGCAGACGCAGCACTGCCGGAGCCGGTGCCCGCCGCACTCAAGGACCGCTTCCCATGTCCGCCGTAACAGACGTGCCCATAGGCCTGACAGCCTTCTGTAAAATGCGAAATGCAAAATCGCAAAATGAATTAGCTAGCATCTACTTTGGCAAGAGATTGCTTCAAGCAAAAACTGTAATCGATATAGCTCCCACACACGCTCGCTCACACACACATACACACGCACGCACACACACACTGAAACACTTTATTAACTGCGACTAGCGCTGACTCAAAAAGTTTAAACCCGATGCGTGTCTGCAATGCCCAGGAGAGGGGCAAACCTTGTACCATTATGTGAAAATTCTATGAACAGACATTAACTGTGCCCAGGTCTGTGGGACTGGAAATCTTTAATCGCTTGCCAATGCTCTGGAGAGACATCTTTTGATAAGCATTTGACCTTTGTGACAAGGCGTATGTGATATTTTATTCGGAGTATGGTTTTATTTATTTTTATTTTTATTTTTTGCCTGTCTGAGTTTATTTTGACTGTTGACTCGATGCTATTTTTGAGCTTCCGCTCGCACACAACATTTTATTAAGGCAGCTTCACGAGGGAGTTGGCGCTTTTTCTTGTCATTTGAACTTTGTTTTGGGCTTAATGTGCTCGTCGTGCAAGTCGCTGCGGGAGCATTAACAACTTCTTGTTAACATATTTTGAATGTCAGTTGCCAAATCGAAGGCCAGCAATGAAAGAGTCTGACTTAATAGTTTTGATTACATTGGATTTGTGTCGAATTAATTATCCATTGTTCTATAAAAGCTATTACAATATGCCATATGCGAACGATTTACTGCAAATAAGCAGTACAAAATTCTAGAACAAAATTCTTGCACAAGGGCAAAGAACCTATAAGTAAGTAAGATGTTTAATTGACTGGAAATAAGTGGGAATATAAATATAAATAAAAAAAAAAATATATGTATATAAAGGATTTGCACAAGAAACAGCATTTCGATATCGATATTTATCGATTATCGAAAACAAACTCGTACTGGGCGGGACCTACGTTCAGAATTTGAAGTCCCTAGGACAGACAGACGGACTCGGCTGTTGATGCTGATTAAGAATATATATACTCGGCTCGGCTCGGAGATGCTTCCTTCTGGCTATTACACACAGTTTACAAACATTATATCCATTTTGAATGGATTAATATCTAAGAATTTGGCACTCTGAAATCGTACTGGAAATAAGATTCATATTTTTAACATACGAATTATATCCTAGTAAGATCTCATGACGTACAAATGCAATTAGATATAAATTTAGTTTTATTTAATGGATTTAAAGTGGCAAATGCTTGATATTTTTCTTGTTGTGCATTTTATATCTGTTGCCTCGGGATTCCTGGCTAAATTATGAAAAGAAAGTAAGTGCAGCCAATTATATGCAGTCCACCTTTATTGCATAATAAAGTTGTGCTGCGTGTGGCAATTGCACGCCCCCTCCCCCTCCCCCTCCCCCTCCTAGCATTCACCCCATTTGATGAGGCGGCAGCTGCATAAACAAAGCCACAAAGGAGCAATGTCAATGGCGACAACGATGTCAACGCGAGGTCGAAGCTTCTGTTTGTTTTCCGTTAAATGTAAACTGTAACAATTGATGCTGTGTGTGTGTGTGTGTGTGTGTGTGTGTGGGAGTGTGTGTGTGACTTCCGCTTGTCAGCCATTTATAGGTTTGTTTTTTGCGCTTAAATTCAATGCGCATTGGAATAACAACTTAAGTGGCATGAGGCAAGCAATATAAGTCAAGTTTGAATACATTTCGAATGGCCTCCGCATGCACAACGAATACTCACTTTTGGCCTGGCTCTGTTGGGCGGCCAGGACGACGGTGCAGATGACAACCAGCAGCAGCGAAATTGTGGATTTCATGTTAACTGCAAAGGAACAGAACAAACGGCATGCAATTAAAGCGACCGTACTTGTACAGGTTTGTGTGTGAGTGTGTGTGTGTGTAAGTGGGCGTGGCGGCGCCCACCTGTTGTTGAGTTGCTGACAATGGGCTGGCTGCCCCTGCGGATATGCTACACTAATTAGAAAAGCACGGCACACACATCCAATCCTCAAGTCACATGCATTTAAGTAGTTAATCCTGGGCGCAAAACTTTTGAACTTTGATTTATGTTTTACCCACATACAGGCAATTAGTGTGCGTGTGCGTGTGTGTGTGGCACAACTTAAGCAAATGTGCGTTTATTACGTGCTTTGAATTTCTTAAGCAAGCTGCTTGCAACTATTTTACAAAGGACTATGCATAGATAAAAGCTAATTCATTTTGGATTTCGCACGAATTATATGTACATATGCATCCATGTGAAACGCGTTAACAATATTTGCTGGTATGTGCCATCAATCATACGACATGTGTGCCAAGCGAACTGTATGTTCTTTTAAAACGGAGCAGGTCGCGTGTCCAGGTGCAGCACGTTCGTAATGAACAATGAAAAACTCACCTCAGCTTTAACTGATCGGTTGATATTTTTATTGGCTTATATACAGCAAACAAATCAAATGAAACATAACAAAAAAAAAAATAACACTTCTAGTTGCTTTGTTTATCAGCGCAGCACAATAATTAATATTCAATTTTAATTGCTATATTAAATATATACTAAATATGTGTATATTGCTTTCTCGGGAACTTTGTACGTTTTGTAAATATATATATATATATATGTATATATAATCACAGATAGAGTTGGGTTTTTTACAGGATTTGCTATTGAATTTGACTTGTTTCTTTTGATTGTGAACTATTTTTGTATTTAAGCACAACGACGGCAACACCAAACTATGCCTTCTAGCTGCCCACGAGCTTGAGTCGACGTTTTCACATTTTCAAGCGCTGCCCGGCGACTGAACGACTGTGCGACTGTTCAACAGCGCCAGAGACAGTATGCTTTATAATCCATATAAAACTCTCGACTCTGGGCTGTTGATAAGACAGAAATCACGACGCGTTAATCGCAATTGGAATCGTGTCACGCGTTGCGATTCGAGACTTTGCAGATTGCAGACTCTTCAGATTTGACTAAAAATATGCCAACTCTCAAGCTCAGTCGCAAAAGGGATTTATTTTCAAGCCCAAGCTGAACTAAATATAAACACAGATAAGTGCAGTCTATGCGTGCATGTGTGTGTGTGTGTGTGTGCGTGTGTGTGCGTGCTGCAGTAAAAATCAACAATGCCCACCTACACGCTGAAAAAACAATAATATTATTGTTATTACTTTGTTTATCAATCTGCCCGCGGACAGCGGCGCCATGTGTCAACTTCAATGGGCAGCAGGAATGGGTCTCTACGGCCGCGGCTTATCAATTTTCCCAGCGCAGAGTGTCAGCTAATAACGATTTAATGAGCTGCTGCTGCCAATCTATATCTATATAGGTTCATGTATAATACATATAATATCCGTTTCTCTGGCTTCTGGCCCACATAAATCAATTTCGTAAAACTTTCCACCAGGTGCTGTTGCTGTTCAACCCATTCCCTTACCCAATCCCAGCCGCATCGCAACGAATATCCGCGATCAACATCTGAACAGGCAAAGTTCAGGTTCCCTTATGTATTCCGTGTGAAATTTTTCTAATCAGCAGCTAGCTGATAACGCAAATATAAACATCACCTTTACATATACCATAGGTGAGCGTTTATAAGTATATTTGAATAATGGGCATCTTAATAAAACCCGCGCAGTTTTTAAAAGTGTGCCTGCGGCATGGGCCGGCGGGTGGCCGATCGGTGTTGATCGCTGCTGATCGCATTCCATATAGTTCAGGCCGTGCTGATAGTCGAATTAAGAGCGACAAGCCGGCCGCTGATTGTGGAGCTACATTTTGTGCCTTACTTCAGCAAGTGGAAAAAAAAACAAATGACAGCTAATTAAACGCTTGCTCAAAACATTTGCGTTTTACATTTGCTGCAGTCTCTTGTGGGTTTTCAGTTGTCGAACAACTTTAGAACAGTTAACACTAATTGTAAAGCATAAAGCATTTAATTAAGTTAAACTGTAATTTTACAAAGGCATACAATTTTAGTATGACCTCAGTTTTTATTCAGTTATGGTAGTTTAGTATGTAATTTTTTCATTTTCGTATGTAGCGCCCTACTATGCGATTCTCAGGAGCTCAAGTAAGCTTCTTATAATTCGCAGATAAGTTTTATATTATCAAGTTGTGCAGGTGATCTTTCTCTCTCTACATATCTTTTTTCCCCTCCAAATATATCTCTATCTATCTCATAAAGATATACAGGTTTTTATGCTTTGGCGAGAAGTGTTATATTAACGAGTTGTGCTGGGGATCTCATAAACTGTTTTTCGTCCATTTCCATTTTTATCTCTCTCTCTCTCTCTCTCAATATATATACTTATTTCCCTTTCACTCTTTTGTCCTTACCGCTATTTAAAACAGACTAGAATCTTTTTGAGAATCTGTATTTTTGTTTTAATAGCGCCCTACTATGCGCTTCTCATTAGTTCAAGTAAGGGTTACTGGCGATAATGAGTGTCTGATAAGTCTTATATTACTGGCGATTCTCTCTCTCTCCAAACCCAATTTAAGGCTTAAAGCGTTATTTCATTTGTTAATAAATCGCGTATACTAATAAAGGATTTATTTATATTTTTATCATTATTATTATTATTATTATTATTATTATTATTATTATTATTATTATTATTATTATTATCATTATTATTATTATTATTATTGTTATTATTATTAATTGTACGAAATGCAATTAAGTATCACGAGTTAATTATGAGCCTTCCGGATAAGTCAATTCTTCCTCCAGATAACTAGCCTGAGGTTTGACGTGTATCTTCTTTGTTCATTTGCCCTTAGACAACATGTCTAGTAAGGACTGAGAGTGCTCGATTCTTTAAAATGCTTTCATTTTAAAATGCAGCTTAATATCAATTACCAAATAAACGCGTAAAGGCAGTTGAAGGCGTTTTCGTGCTCTTATATCGCTTACAATTTAATTTATGCCAGAGAATGCGTCACGCATTTTAATATGTTTAAAAGAAATGCTCTAGTTGGAATAGCTCGGCTGGGAGATGAGCATACTGAAATAGGTCTATGGCTAGGAATTGTGTAAAAATTAACGAGAAGTGACTTCAGTCCCGCTACTGCGGGTCCCAAATTTACAAATATGCCCGTCTATAACTTTATAAACTCAAAATTGTGAATCAAGTTTATATAAATCGTTTTCTGTTTATTTCAACTAGAATATCCCCAAATTTTAATTAAACTTTGTCCATTTGACAAAGCGTGGCTTCTTAATTTACCATACCTGACCGGTTATAGCCGATATTGATGGCTGATTCGTGGCATAATTAATAAAACAACAATATATATATATATATAATATAATAAAAAAATGTAGTAGCTCATGTAGACCAAATCTAATTTTCTCGCTGAATTGCACTTAAGATCTAGATTTTTGCCATTTAACTATTTTAGCACCCATTTGATACTGAAGAAATTAATATTTTGCTACTTTTAAAATTTATTTTTTTTTGAGCAGAAGCAAAGGTACAAACAACTTTGAAGAATCAATTGAGTTAAGCTTTATGCATAAGGGGCACTGATGAGGTTAGCAACAAGTTGCTTTCCGAAGGCAAGGGGAAAAGCGCAACTACAGCGAATTATAGTGTTTATTTTTTTATGTTTTAAGTATTCGTGTGCACATCAGGATGAGCGGATTCATGCAGCTGGTGCTGGTGGTAGGAGTTGTTTGCCTTTCAGTTTAATTTTATGTTAGGCAAATGTGGGCGGCATTCACAACTTTGAACTTTGCGCGAGCAAGTGCAGCCCCTGGCTGCTTATAAAAAATTAATCAAAGCAACCAGGATGGCAAAGTTAAACGCAGCATGATGATAACAAGGCTGAAACGCGCAATCAAAGCAAAGCTGAACTAAGCCACATCAAATGGCCACTAATCTAATTTGATTCAATTAAATTGAACAAATAAACATGGCCACAAAATATGACCGAAGGGGCAATTAAAATGGGCGTGCGTGTGTGTGTGTGTGTGTATGAGTTGGGAGCCAGAGGTTCTATAGGAAAGTTGGGCTGCAACTTAAGCAAACAATAATTTTGCCAGGCTGAAAAAGCAAGTGAGATTCGGACTTAAAATGGCAGATTAAAAAAAAGAAAATCTGTAAAGTCCGTCAAGGCACGGAAATCACTTACCAATTGGTGAGTTTTCACTTTTGTTTTTTTTAAATTTATATGTTGAGTATAAGGTTGTGGTTCAGCCAAGCTAAAGCTGTTAACATAAAGTTGCCACCTTGTTTTAGTTTTTCTTTGCAATCAGCTCTGTTAGTTGCAAATCAATGCTGCCACACTGCACCTCAAAAGTGTTAACTAATATTTTGAATCTTTTTCTGCGCGTTTGGTGTTGATGTCGCTCGAATGAAAGCCAAAATTCGTTTGAGACCGTTAACAGCACACGGCCCAGCTTTATACAGCAGGACGACTGCGTGCGTGTGTGCGCGCGTGTGGGTGCATGCGTGTGTGGGTGTAGTTGTGACTGCGGCGCAGCCAATCAGAAGCGCGCGGCAAGCCGAATGAGACCCGAAGCGTTGCCAACCGCCGCCTGGTTGTATGCAATGGCCTTTTTGTGCCATTCATTTGCGTAGGTGCCGCAGCATTTGGATCTGAGGCAGAGGCATCCGCTGTGAACCTTGGCACAACGCAGTCCGCTCCAGGCCCAAAGCACCCATTGCCATGCCCCGTGATAGACTAAAGGGCGGCCGCTTCAGCCGCTTCAGCCGCTTCTGGGATGTCAAATTAGCGAGCTGCTCAGATTTATTTGGCCAGCAGTGCGTCATTTGAATAGATATGAGTTAATCAATGAATGGATTCAGTTGGCATCTGCTGACGTCTATGCCGTGGCCATCTTTGCCGCAGGCCGTCCAACTTTTCCGCTTTTGATGTTAATCAAATAATTTGCCTTTGATTCGAAATGCAGTTTCCACAATCGCCTGCGCATACATAGTTGGGTAGTTTTTAATTGATTTGCCAACGACTTGTTTACAACAATTATTTTCAATTGTTGCTAAAGCAGCAGCTTATCGCATCTAGAAAAATTACGTCGATAAGCAGCTGTTGCCGCCCCGAACTCACAGATCAAAATATTTGACATCAAACAGTAGCTACACCCCTGCACAAAGCTCGTATCAATTTTTTAACTATCTATATTAAACAGCTTGTTGTGCATTTCCGCAGGGCTGCCTCTTGAAATTTTATTAAATATTAGGTTCTAATGTGGAAATGTTTACCTATGCTTATTATGAATGAGAGCCAAAACCACTTTTCAATAGCTATAGACACTACTGATCTTCCAGTTGAGACAGACTCAGACTCAGACTTTGTCTGGCTGAAATAAATTTGAAGATTCCCAACTGTCCCCAGTTTGGGGGTCCTGGCCATTGGGCTACTATGCCATGAGCTGGGATTCAGCATTACAACAATTGTTCAATTTTAAAGCTCTAGTTTTATTTTGCTTTCATATTTGGACGGCATGGAATTTAGAATGAGTGTAAAACAATTAGGCAATATACAAATTATAGAGATTCAAAGAGATTGCAGGCCAAATCAGTTATAAATTTGCCCGCCAAAGGCTTGGCTAGGCACTTAGTAAAGCTGGCCTATGAACCAGATGCCCAAGAGGGTGCTCAGGAGGGCGCTGGCACCAACCAGACCCGATGCGCCGTTGTGCTGGGCACAGATGCGTGGCTGGGGTGCCGAGACATATTTGCAGAGGGTACCAATGAAGTTGACCTGGGCGCGCTCATTGACCTGCTTGTCGAATTGCTGGAAAAGGCGAAGCTTAAGCAACATGTTTAGCTAGTACATAGATTGGTTTGGGTTTACCTCATTGAACAGAATGGTGGGCACACTGGTCAGTGGCTCCTTCAGCCTCTGGGTGGTTTCGCCAGCCTTGCGCAGCAGCACGCTGCCGTCGGTGGTGTTCGCACAGGTCTTGATGTTCTCCCAGTTGTTGACGTGACTCTCTGCGGCGCAACGCTGGCCCGGATACACATTGTCCGGGAAGTTCTTGCCCGCCTTCATCAGGCAGTTGATAAAGTCCAGGGTAAGCGATTCGCGTGTGAAATCAATTTGGTAGGAGTTGGCCTGAATGTGCTCGATGGCGCAGGCATGCACCTTGTTGCCGTAACACTCGTTGGGACCATGATGGCAGGTGAAGGTCACCTCAGCGCCTTGTGTGTGGAACTGCATGGAGTGCAAATGTGAATGTGTCACAAATGAGGCATTGTTGGGCCTAAAACGTTTCGTTCACTCACCTGGGATTTGCCAAAGGGCACAAATGTCAGTTCGACCGCATCACGCAGCTCGCTCTTCATAGCCGGATACAGCTGCTCCGTAATAAACTTGGCGCTGTCCGGGCACAGGGATTCGTAGTAAATGGCAATGGGCACCTGGTAAACAACATATCAAAACATTTCAGTCTCTTTCATGCTAGCTGGCCTGGGCTGGGCTGGGACAGAGGTGGACAGAGGGGTGGGCATGGCAGGCTGTTTTAGTATAATGCATTCTTCACATTGTGTTGCCATTTTCTGTAGCCGGCAAATGGGGCAATTTGCATTTTTACTGTACATGCAAATCAGTTTTAAATGAGTGGACACACCCGAAAATTGTATTACCCGATTTTAACCAAGGCAGCAAGCCCCTGGGTTTTCCAATTTGTAATTAAGAAGTCAAATATTCAAAATTAACAGAAAATTTTAAAGAAAAAAAAATCGTAACGGTTTCCATATTTTACCTAAATTAATGCTTAAGTTTACAAATCTAATTAAAACAAGTAAGAGGTTCTAGTCGGGAGCTACCGACTAGGGGATACCCTGTACCCTCTTCTTCCAACATTAAACGCATATATATATTCTATTTTAGAAGCTAAATATTTTTATCGATTGCTTGGAGACGGAGCAAGTTATCGATTATCGGAAACAAACTAGATCTGCGCGGGAGCTAGGAGCATCTACATCTAAAATTTCAAGTCTCTAGCTCTTATAGGTTCTGAGATCCTTGCGTTCATACATACGGACGGACGGACGGACAGACAGACGGACATGGCTAGATCGACTCGGCTATTGATGCTGATCAAGAATATATATACTTTATGGGGTCGGAGAAGCTTACTTCTAAATACAATATACCCTTATACCCATTTTCAATGGGCTTAGGGTATAAATATAAAGTAGAGTACAAAATTTGATTTGACTTTAAAATCAGTTAAATATGAACACTAGGCAGGTATATAAACTATGCTGCCAGATCGTTAAAAATATCTCTGTTAACTAACGTCAATGCGTGAATACGATTTGATTTCCATTACGTAATCCGCTGAATAGAACAAATCGCGTTGTATGCACACTCACATGCAAATGCCTGTTTATTGTATTGTATGCATTATTTTAATTAACGAGTGCATTGTGATTCTGTTGCGAATTGTGCTCGACATGGAATATATTATTGAACTGAATCTTCTATAACTTGCCTGTAGGGGTATTAAATGCCCGCCATATCGAACATAATTTTACTTTGCATTTTTTTGTATATTTCCAACATGTGGTTTTTTATCTTTATAGTAAACAGCTGCCAATATATTTAAATAAGAAGTATCTGCATGTTATTTAACGAATGAAAGAGGCTTTTAAAATATTGACAAGAAATCATTCATAAAAACAAGGAACGTTAATATACAACGTTATATACATAGATAAGTTAACTATTATATGTATACTCAACGCTACATTTGATTATATAGTTTATAAATTGAGCATTGAGTTTTGTCGGTTTTCGTATTTTGCAATTTTACGTGATCTTAATAACACATTTTTGCCAAACATTGTGCAAAAGCTCGCTAAATAAATTATAACTCTCTCGTGACTAAGACGACAAATGATGCGCAATAGACAAAACGTGTATAAAATAAAGTCCAGCGCGAGTTACTGTTTATTTGCATTCATTTCTATACACACACATATGTGTGTACATGTGCATGCATACATACATACATGTTAATGTACATCTCTTTTCAGCTAAATTTGCTTATTATTGTTATTTCCCCCTTTTTTTGTTCAGTCGAAGGTCTCGTAGACAGAATAGTCATCGCTTTTTGTGTAGTGGAAACACAGCAGTAGAACAGCTAAGCGTTCCATTCTTGCAGCAATAACAACAACAACAGGTTGGCCTGGAAGGGGGTTTCCAAAGAGTGGCCGGCGACCAACACCGGTTCCCACATGCATCACACACATAACACAGCCAAATACATTGAAATGGAAACTGGTCGGCATTAAAAACCGGTTTTGGGTCTCAAAACAAAAACACAAAGCAAGATTTTGTCGGCAGCTAGCAGAGAAAACTGAATTTATACAATTAATTATGCATACACATAAACTCACATACACATACATACATATGTGCATACGCATGCATGTATGTATCTCTTTTAAATAATTTGGAGCTACGGCATTTTCCAACAACAGTTCATTCAACCCATTTTATTGGGCGCGCCACTTGTTGCTGCATTTGAAAAGGGCGCGAGGCGTATTTGAATTCATTTCTTCTTCAGACTGTGCCAACCCTGACCCACTGCATTAGGTTAAAGCACACTCGTGATTTTGTTATTGTTTGTTGCTTGATACTATGTAAACGCGTGTTTCATAAGTACCCAGCTAATTGCTTGCATTTTAAATTGATTTTTTCTTAGATTTTTTGTGATTATGCAAACTTACCTTTGCGGCACTGCACACAGATACGGCCAGACAGGCGAGAAGTACAAATTTGTGACTCATGCTATTGGTTTTGTTTTTGTTTTCGGCTTTTTTTGATATGCTGACACGGACTCAGTTAAGCGCTAGTTGTGAACGTGCTGACGTCTAAGCGTGAACTGTTTTGTTCATAGCATCGACTTTTGGTTTGGGCAGCAGAAGCAGCGGCTTTACCGTTTTCCAGTCTGAGCGTGAGAGCGAACGTTAACATAATTTGGGTTGGGCTTGATCTTAAAGTAGTATGCGTACATGTGTGCGTACAGTGCACAGATCGTCTGTAGTAAATGCACATGCCGAAACATAGCAGTGGAGCCCAGCAGCACAATTGGAAAAGACCCATGCGCTTTATGTTAAAGTACAGCTTTAACAGCGCGTTGCTGTTGGTGCTCTCTAAGGTGCGTGTTAATCACTAGCACAGCTTGTTGGATCGCTTGTAACGCTCGATTCCAATGGGAATTTGGCGCTTTGAATAATGTAAATTCTAATTGAAAAAGTTTTGCGTGCATCTGAATGGGAAATCTCAGAGCCATCTCAGGGGAATACAGTTACTTTTACATACACAGATTTTTCTTTATATTTAATGGAATTACAAATTAAAATATATGTTTTGCAAGTATGTACATAAACAAGACTGTCTAATTAAAAGCACTTTCTGTGGCATCAGTCGCGAAACTTGAATCCCTTTGCAATCAGATCTTTGCGAGCCTCCAATATCTCCGCCTGCAATTCCTTAGCTGCTTCGGGACAGTCGTTAAACGTAAATGTACGATACAGCACAGTCCACACGGAATAAATCTACAGCCATATAACAGATATATATTGTTCAAAGCTGACTATAGTAATTATTCCTTTGGAAACTTACCCCAAACAGAACTAACAGCAGCAGTGGCAGCAGTTGAATATAAAGCAAGTATTTTGTTGTTACCGCCGTTTGCACTGTGCCCAGCACAATGGCTAAATAAGGCACCGCGAAGAGCGCAGCATAGAATAGCCAACGTTGTAGATTTGTCATGTTCAGTGTTTGTGGCTTATTTAAATATACAATTTTTAAAATAATTAAAATACTCGTACTGCAACACGTAAACAAGCGGCCGGTCTAGGGATGGCCGATAGGTTGACGCCGATAACCATTTCGATAAGCAAAAGTCGACTATTCGATAAGCATAATCAGCTGTTTGCGTGTCATGTCAAGCAGCTTTGGCGCGTCAGCAAAGGTGGTTACATTTTCAAATTTAATTTTTAATCAGAAAACAAATTGTTATTTTGTCTTTAGTTTTTAACTAATATTAATTTTAGAATCTTAAACTATGATTGTGTGTGCACAGCATCCATGGCATGCACTGTGCACGGCGTATTGGCCAATAAATCAGCTGTGCGACAGCCAATTATTTGAAATTTAATCTCATTCTCCTTCAAGGTGCCGCCCACGAAGAGGTTCGGTTCACTACTCAGCGCCCAAAGCTCATTCTCTCCCTTTGAGTTCCGATTGATCTTGAGGCCCGTAACAAATTTCAGCTGTTGCGGATTGTAGGCAACAGCGCGTATAGCATCTGCAGTGTAATTGGAATGCTCGCTCCAACTTATTAAAGCGCCCAGGCTGATGAGACTACAGTAGAGATTGCCGCCGCTGTCCATGACCTCCGATTCGCACTGGGTGCCACGCGTGCCCAGAATACGAAAGTGTTTGCTGACCGCCTCGCTTGAGCCCTGCCGCCAGATGCTTGCATTGTTGACCAGGTGCAGTGGAATTGCAATTTCAAAAAAGCTGTTCAGCGTGTGAAAGTATAAAAAGCGCTCTGAAAATGAAGAGAATCTATGCAATAGGCGCTAACATGGCCACATCATCAATGGAATTACCTGCTGCCAGACTGGGACTCAGGCTGACAGTAAATATGCCCGCATGGGCGCTGCCAAAGCGACGCACGCCCAACGACGGCTGCATGGACTCGTGTTCGATGCGCCAGGATTTGCCGGTGAGCGCATCAAACACAATTAGGCCATAGCCCCAAGCATCCGCAATATAGGCCATGCCGCCCAAGCATTTGCTGGGCGCACTGTCCTCCAAGAGATCCACGACCATGGCCGTAAAAATCGATATGCTGGGCGTGTACATGTGTGGGGGCAGCGCGGAACGCTGCACCAGCTCATCCTTGACCAGGTCGAATATTAAAATTTGTGGCGCGCACAGCTGCATGGAGTTGACTTGACCCGAATCCACCACCCAAAGACGCCAGCACTCATCAATCTGCAGACAAAGGGAGGATTTTGTGCGTTGGAATTTGCATAGATGGTTTCGGTTTTGAGGCCACACTCACGTGGGTTCTGATGGCAGACGTAATGCCGGAGCAGTTGTTGGCCGGCAGATGCCAGGCCATGCTGGGATAGGCTTCCAGGCCTGGATTCTCCAGCAGCCCATTATCATCCGCCGCCACCGTGGCCAGTGTGTAGGGCGTGCCAGTGCTCAAGCGGGGTATGGTCAGAAATGTGCGATGACGTCCCTCATCCCCATACTCGATGTCTATGTCCACGGGCAGAAATTGGCTGTTGGTCGCCTGGCTCTGGCCCAAAACACCAAAGCTCAGATTGCTCCACCTGTGCAGCGTGTGCAGCTGCTTAATACGCAACTTCTGGGCACAGGCGCTGGCCAAGAGCAGGCCAACAGCTAACAGGATGCATCTGGCCTGAAACATTTTCTTTCTTTTTTATGTTAACACGACAGCATAGAAAAGAAAATCCCGTCTTAACCGTTCAGGCGACGCGTGAAAACTGATCTTCAGCAGCAGCAGCAGCAGCAGGTAGCGACCGACGTTAAGGTGTTTGCCCAACCGGTGCTAACAAACCCTAATTGACCAAATAGTCGACTTGTCGAGTTCTCGAGAGCCCAGACAAAAAAGGCACTCGCGGCACAGGTACGCGCTGGCCCTCTGACAGAGTTTAGTGCCGTTTAATACTTGTTAGATTTATGGGCACCTTTTCTCTGGATGCTGCAAGTTGATTTACATAGACCATAGAACATGCACACGCCATGCCGCCTGCGACCTGTGCCCCCTGCCCCCAGTCCAATGCCACGCTGCCACCCTGCCTCCTGCCTCGTCGCAGCATGTCAACAGCGAACGCGATAATTGATTTCTCGGCGGTCGAGTCTGCCGGAAAATGCTGTCGGCCGGCAATTCGAGAGCGGGCCGAGCCGCTCGCCAGTGGACACAAGCGCTGTTGCGGGCCAATACTTTAGTGTCAACGAGAAACCGGCAACGGGCTGCAGTTAGTCTTCCAGTTTTAGGATCGCCAGTGAAATCTCTATCCACGGGGCGGACTTTGCCGTCGAAACTGAACGTTCAATATTTATGTATTTATGTAAGTGCATATGTCCATCGTGTTTAATGGCATGTCTTTATGGCGTTTACATTCCATTTGCATTTATTTTAATATTTGTGTATACCCTGTAAGCAGTGCAAGTGGATAGTGGGTATATTAAACAGCACGACGAGAGACACTCGTCTTGACAGACGTCAATCCAGTTGCACAACGAAAACTTAAACAGATTCGATGAACTCTGTTTTTCTGAAATCGATAAATATCGATTTCTCTAGCTTATAAGAGTTTAATATGCCAAATTTTTCACAAGAAGAATCTCAGGAATACCGCAAACATGTCAAATAATTAATCTAGTTGTTATTTATGTTACAAACATATTAATGCTTGAATGCTCTCTCTTAAGTCTGTCTCTAAGAAAGCTAGATTGTTTCTAAAAGAATCTAGAAATGGCCTTGAATGAATAAAAATGAATAAAATTAAAAAAATTGCAAAAGTTATCAAAAGACAAAGTTTTATATCTTCTAACTCCAGATTTTCGACCTGGGCTATGGAAATTCCACTTGGAAATGAAGCAGCTATTATATAGCCGAATATTATTATTTGAAATTGTAAACGAAATCGAAAGTGAATTTTAAGATTGCATTTATTTTTGTATATACATTTCAAAAGTATGGAATATTATTTGAATTTAACCGCTGCGACGCCTGTTCCTGCCGACGACTGTTCCGACCCTGTTCCTGTTTACGACCGTTCCAACCCTGTTCCTGTTGACGACCCTTCTCCTGTTTGTATTTGCGGTCCTGTTCCTGGGTACGAGCACAACTCTACGCGCTCTGGAAGCTCGACGTCTGGCGGCCAATTCCCTCCTCCTTGCGGCCCTCTGTCGCTCTTGCCTCTTCAGACGCCGAAGCCTGCGCCTGAGCCGTTTCAAAGCTGTCGCGCAGCTGGAGCTGGAGCTTGAGCTGCTGCTGCTTGAGGTTGTTGTTGTGTCAGAAGTGGCTGACGCCGCTGTGGTGGTATCAGAAGTGGCTGATGCCGCTGTTGTCGTATCAGAAGTGGCTGATGCCGCTGTTGTCGTATCAGAAGAGGATGTTGCCGCTGTTGTGGAGTCATCTGTCGATGTCGCAGCCGTCGAATCACCCTCGCTGTATGGAAGCCAGCAAGTGGCCAGAATGGCGCAGCAAAGGAGCAGAGCTTGGATTCTCATCTCGAGGCCCGTAGATTACTTGGAATGTTGGCTGAAAACCAAGACAGTTATTTATATAGCAAATTGTTAGACACTCTAACTGCGCCGTTTGGGCAGCTGTGAACATATATTTAATGTTTAAAGTTTCAAAATTCCCTTGTTTGTTTAGTTGATTTTCTGTCTACCAGGTTCAAGTAAAAACTTTCCTTTCCAATTAGCTATGCAAGAGCCTGTGCGCATTCATTCTGTGTATACAGCTGTTTTATTATTCGAGAACTAAACTCACAAATGCGTTTAAACAATACAGTCTAGAGTCTGAGAGCCCCGATGAGATTTTGCCAAAAACATTTTATTTTTAAGTTTGTGTACTAAATTGTTTTATTCAAAATTCAAATTTAGATACAGATGTGAAAAACAAGCTTCATGGTTCGTTCCCAAAGACGACACATAGATTTTTACTTTGTTATTTTCATAGATTATCTATTAACTAACCCGGCGCGTATAAAATACATTTTCTCAAAGGCTTTGAAAACGATTATGAAACTTATGGGACGTCAAACAAATAACTTTTCGTACAATCGTTGTACGCCAATTTACCACTGTTGCGGCTGAAATTTCCCATAACGCTGAAGCAGGTATTCATTAAGTTTTTGTGTAAAAAATAAGTTTGATTAAATCGGACGAAACTTTAAAATTCACCAACAGATATTAGAATTGCTCTTTCCACCGAGGATGCTTTAATTCTGCGAAAAATGTGAAACACGTCCCAAATGATTTTTCATATAGATCCATGAAAATGAATTTGAGCGCGAAACGTCTCCCACCAAATCTTTGACCCACATTGCCATCAAGTCGGAATGCATTTTTCGAACAGTGTGAAACACCTCTCAACCGAATTTGAGCAAAGATCTTTAAAAATGAGTTTGCGACCGATCGGATGGTAAACAAAAAAGTTTCATGCAAACGTTTTTCGCGATTTTCCACACGATTTTCTTAACGTGCATCTTCATTACATAAGGTTGATCACCGATCAGTCAGTCAGTCAGGCAAACAGTTGTATATATAGATAATACGTAAGAATATAACAAGTAAGAGGTTCTAGTCGGGAGCTCCCGACTAGGGGATACCTTGAACCCTTTTCTTCCAACATCAAAGGCATATATATATTCTATTTTAGAAGCTATATGTCAAGTTTGGTGACTCTAGCTCTTATTATTTACCAAAATTGCCCAAAAAACAGGATATCGATATAGATTTTTATCGATTGCTTGGAAACGGAGTAAGTTATCGATTATCGGAAACAAACTCGATCTGCGCGGGAGCTAGGAGCATCTACGTCTAAAATTTCAAGTCTCTAGCTCTTATAGGTTCTGAGATCCTTGCGTTCATACATACGGACGGACGGACGGACGGACAGACAGACGGACATGGCTAGATCGACTCGGCTATTGATGCTGATCAAGAATATATATACTTTATGGGGTCGGAGATGCTTCCTTCTGCCTGTTACATACATTTGGATTTCGCTCAAATACAATATACCCTTGTACCCATTTTTAATGGGTTCAGGGTATGAAAATGAAAGACTAAAATCCAATTCAGAACACAAATATTTCTAAAAGCATCACTAAGGAATTAAGAAAACCAATGACCGTTTTTGACAATTGCTATGTGTTAGAAAAGCCAGATTTATTTATTTGCCCATCGAAAATGTGAAAAGGGGTATACGGTTTTTGTGCAAAGGTTTACAGCAAGCTGAGCAAACCATGAAGAATCGAAATAGTCATGTCTGCCTCTCCATCTGATATATATTCCGTTTTACCAAACGCAGCACGAATCTAACACTTTTGTTTCTAAGTATATCATCTCCCATTTTCATGTTATCGATAAAAATTTATTTCGGGACTTGGTTCTTAAAGCATAACTCGAAAGTTATGACATTAAGCAACGACAAATTAAGTATTTAGGTTATCGTATTATATACTATATACACAGATAGGGACCAATTCATTTTCTTGATACCTCTCTCATTGCCTAGATATTCCCTGGATGTTTTATGAGGAGTGGATTATGAAAAACCGCAAAAATTGAAGATAGATTAATTTGAAAATTTCATCAAGATCGGACTGTAAGCTCCGAGTAAATTTTCGATAGAGTGGAGCAAAGTGAATAGTGTATAGAAGGACGTAAGAGAGAAGGGGTAGAAGCTAGATATTTGTATACGTTACACAGGGTTTAGGGTATCTCATAGTCATGCACGCCCGACCAGCGCACTCTTACTTGTTTGGGTCTGCTGCCATGCAGAAGAATTTAATTATCATTAAGTTTGCAAACAGCTTTTGGAAACTATTAAAAATATTGAGCACTCGGCCAATCATTTCCGAATAAGCTGCAGTTGTTCGCGTTTAATTTTATCATTAAAGCCAGCAGAGACTAAATGAAACTTGAGTTCAGGCGAACCAAGCAGAACGCAGCCACAGCCCAGAAAAAACTCCATGAGCTGGCCAAGAAATAAAAAAACAACAACTTTTATTAGAACTGGTTAAGCCGTCATTTTATGGCTCATTAATGTCAGCTTTAAGTGCGGTAGAGCTCAACACGTCAAAATTGCAATTTAATTATCTAGTTAAATTTGTTTAATCAATTTATTATAGCTTCAATTGGCGACTACAATTTAGATCTTAGATAGGTCAAATAAAATCAAATATTATATTAGTTAAAAACTCGCAAGTGTTTCGAGTTATGTACTTTATATATATATATATATATAGTAGCCCGGTAAATTTAGTTTTATTTTGAATAAATTAGGATTCAGGATTGAGTTTCGAATTTTGAAGAAATTTATCATGTTTCTCAAATCCATCCTTTTCCCAAACTGGAGTTAATTAAAATTTGTCTGTCCTCATATAAGCCCCATTTCCACCCTGGGAAGTGAAATTTCGGGTAAGTGTGACACACGTCTGAAGTGAAGTTTCGCAAAGATCAATAAAATGATGTTGATGCTCGATCGTTAGACCACAAAGTCTTACACCCCGCTTTCCACCCATTTACACAGCCAGTGCGAAACTCAGTCCGTCAATCGGTTGGCCAGTGAAAACAAATGGGCTTATATATGCATATCAATATGTGTGTGTATATTTGAGAGATTGCTTGTTTTGATGTGAAAAGTTCATGTTTGGACAGAAAACCAATTATTTAAAAGCAACATTAAATATTTACAAGGAAAATAAATTAACAAAAAATATTTACACATAAGAATAAAGAGCTTGAAATGTAATAGAAGAACTGATTTCTGTTTTTTAAACATTTATAAATACGTTTTTAATGATAGTAGTAACCACTGTGGCGGTTGGAGTAGGGCGTGGGCGCAGCTGGTGCTGTTGCTGCTGCCGTGGTCACAGGGCCACCCACGAGGGTGTCCAGATAGGAACGCTGATAGTTGTCCCGTGTAGCCTTGGTGGGCGGAAAGGCCTCGCCTTGATTGAGCGCTGTGAATGGATTGCGCAGTCCATAGTTGACAATGCCCGCGTTCTCGAATTTGTAGGGTGTCTTGGTGGTGAGGGGCGTGGTTAGCGCCGGACTTGTAAAGTACGTTTGCAGCGCATTTGTGGTGCTCTGAGCGTGCACGTGTGTATTGTACAAATTGTAGTGCAGCAAACTGTTGTGGGCTGGAGCCGTGGTCAGCGTCAGCGGATGCCCCAGCAGGGGTCTCTTGGGGGCGCCGGGCTTGGCGTGCGGCAGCTCCAGACGCACTATACGATTGTTGTACTCATTGGGATTCAGATTCTTCAGGAAGAAGCGATGAAACTTGGAGGATATGGCATAGATGACACCCGGCTCTGCGCGGGTTGTTGTCATGTCCGCCACGAACTGCAGCTTATCGCGATCATGGGCCAGCACGGATTGCTGATTGTTGCTTGGATTCCAGGAGGCAATGGCCGTCTCGGTGAGCGGACTAAAGATCAGGCTGCCGTCGAACGGTGACACCGCCAAGCCAATGCCCTGCGAGGACTTCTTGCCCACCAGCTTGACATCCAGCATCTGGCCACTCGGCAGTGGACCGCCGCGTAGTACATTCTTGTGAACCGAAAAGACACTGCCGGAGATTTGCACCAGGATAAGCAGCTAAAGACCATATATACTTGGGTCTGCTATACTCACCGATCTGTGGCCAGTGGCTGGAAGTAGACCACGCCCTTGCGCTCATCAAACGTCAAGCCCACAACGCCATCCATCAGCACGAAGCGATCGTTGTGAATCTCGGACTGCGCAAAATCCGGATCGGGATACATGGCTGTGCGGTAAATATGCAAATAAATAAAACAGCAGAACACATTGTGGTCCCTATTATATACCTGGATGCGAGTGACGCCAGGTGACATCCTTGCCGCTGTCATATACAATAATGCCCGGCTCCACGGTATCCGTGATGTATACGAAAACATCGTCACAGCTCTTGGCCGTGGTCTCATCAATGACCATGTTGGTAAATAACGTCTCACCACGCAACACCTCGGGCGGGAAATCAATGCGACGCACCACACGATCCGTGTTTAGATCGACCACAAGTATCTTGGGCGGGCAGGTGATCTCATAGTCCTCCAGAGAGCGCGAGATGCCCGCATCGAGCAGCCACAGGCGATTGCAGGAGTCGATGCGCAGGCGATAGACCGAAGTCAAGATCAGATCGCTGCAATTGAAATTGGAGCGCGCTGTGTTCGAGAAGGACCAGTCGGGATATGCTTGCAGCGTGGGCGAGTCGCCAATCTGTGCCTTGGACACCCAACTCACAGTGGAGGAGACGCCTGAAAACAGCTTGGGCGTGGCTATAAAAATACGATCCTCTGTGACGGCAATGCCCGTGATGAGCACATTCTCTGGATTATAAAACTGCGGATCGCTGGCCCGTGCACTTGACTCAAAGTTGTAGCCCAGCAGCTTCCAATGCTTCACCACCTGCAATCCAGGCGCTTGGGCGTCAACAGGCAGCCGCCCATTCGACCAGAGCAGCAGGCAAAGGGCTGTGGCGAGAATGCTGTGCATGGCGAGAGTTGGCTAAACGAGTGAAGAATCAAACAGACAATAACGTTTATTTAAACTGAATTTATGGGCCACGAGGCAATTAAAAAATCATTCAAATTAAATACAGATGCATATAATTTGATTTTATGTAGGCAATAAACAACTTAACGATTCATTGTCAGGTTCTCTGTATATCATTTCAACAAAAGCTACTAACAATTCACGCTTATTACTTGTGAAATGTATATGCAATGAGAAAAGGTTAATTTTTCTGAATAAAAAACACTTGTTTAATGAAAAAAAATGCAATAATAATAAATTAAACTCAATTATTTGAGTAGAAGGGTAAGAGAAAAATTAAAATAAATCAAACAGTTTTCTGCAATATATAAAACGAACTATTGAAAACTTATTTTAATAATTTGAGTAAACATTTTCACCGACAATGAAAATTCGTCCAGTTGGAATATATTTTCTATTTAGTAAACATTTCAATCAATTAGTTTTCTACAATATATAAAATTAGCTGTTAATAAACTAAATTCAACTAAAATTCAACAAGTTGGGTAAACCTTTCTACAGATAATAAAAGATTGAATAAAGTTTCAATGATATTATCAATAAAAATTGTCTATAATATATAATTAAACTATTAATAAACTTAACTCAACAAATTGGGTAAACAGTTCTACAGACAATAGAAATTTCTTTCAGATGGAAGTTAATTGCTTTGTTATGATTAAATTAAACAATTCCCTACAATAAAGAAAACAAACTATTATTAAAAAAATTGAACGAATTTCTACAAATAAAAGTAAAACATTTCAAATGAAATCAATTTTCTATGAATTGAGTCAATAAAATAGTTTTCTACAAAAGAGTGTAACTAGCTTTTAATGAATCAATTTTGAATTATGAATTGTTAATTTGAATTTTAATGATTATTTTCAATTTTTCTTTTTAACTTATATTTTGATTGCATACTTTTTTGACAAGCTGAGAGTTGTATAAAAGTAAAATATTTTTGGAATAAAATTCTTTGATTTATAAAAAAAGGTATCGATTCCTTAACAAATTCTTCCTATAGATATGCTTAGATAAATATTCGTGTTAATTAATTACTTTTTAGCTAATTTCTTTGTATATTTTATTGAATTTTATTATAAAAATCTCTCAATTTCTATGAAATGTTGAATATATTATTGAATACATCTTTAATTCGAACTCAGGCTAATGATTAACTTTTCTATAAAAGTTTCTGTAATGCAGCAACAATATTTGCACGTTTTTGTAGAAAATCGTATCTTAAATCATGTTAAATGCCAAGTCGCTAGGTCGTTCCCTTGTTTACTCTGTGATTCAATGAAAAATGTTCGGAAGTATATTTGCATTTTCGAGCGCTTAGTATTCAAGTGTAAATAATTTTATTTTCCCACATCTGGTCAAGCGCGCGGCCCTTCTATATAATATAATACGAATATATATAGTATATATCTATTATTGAGCCAATTCCATGGATTGCAGATTACAATTAACATTGTCATGGCATTATATTCAAATGAAGTTGGCTATTGCCAATGCTTAGCCTTGTTAATACCTGGTCTCGCACGGCTGCCGCCAGCGTGTGCACCAATTGACAGCAGCTGTGACAGCGGCCAAGACGGGGTCGGGTCTGTGATTAAGATTGAGCAGTTGTATCTAAAGGAGAGACACACATTTGTGGGTCTGTGGGGCTCGTTTTCACACACTCTGTGCTCCATTTCATATTGAAATGCCGTATTGCTACGAGGGCTGCCTCTTAAATTGTGTGTCCAGTTTTGGCTAAAAGAGTTAAATACTTGAACAGATGCTCTTGATCAAAAAGCACTTCAAATATTTGAATAGGCCATGTGATCTGCAGTAACAAGATTCCAATTACTTCTTCTCTCGGCTTGTAAAAAATAAATACATAATAGAAAATCATTTCAAATATTTGTGTATACCAAGGCGTTACTGCCTTGACCCAATTTTTTGATAATTTTGCTAGCTTCGCGCGTGGTTTGATGTTTAAAAAATTGTGATTTTTTATAAAATATTAACACACTTTTGTGTTAATTAACAATAAGCACAAATATATTTGCTAAAATATCCTGTTTAGTGAAGCAATAAAAACAAACAAAAGCTGAAAACAAGGCAAGGCAGAACAACAAATTATGATGGCCCTAAAGAGAAGATGTTTTAAGTAATTTTGACTTTAGTTAAATCATTTCGAGTGCTGAAACATATTGTTTGGAAAACGAAGTATTTGTGGTAAATACCGACAAGCTGTGATTTTACTGCTGAATTCAAAAGTTTTTTTATAAAGTTGATTTTATATGAAGACTTAGCTGTATCTTTTGTTTGCCAAGATGATCATTAACGATTAATTGATATTGATCAAACAAATATATCATATAGCTGTCAGTACCATTAGTGGCCCAGGAATACATCCACTTGGTTGAGGGCTGTGCTTGCAGGTTAAACATATAGCTAAATGCGGCGTTTTAAAGCTGCTGCAATCCCTACTCAATCCCAATAGCCTATCGCTACTAACGCGCGGTCTGCGCCGATTTGGATATATTGTATCAAGAATAGAAGACGTACCATAGACAGTCAGGTCGGAGCCTTTTTCAACCGATACAACGGACGCTTGCAGCAACACTGCAATTGGCTGGCAATAGACTTCGTGAGCTATATTCAGAAGGCTTCAGCGAAGTTTGTTTAACAACCTTCTCTAACTAGGACAGAGGAGACGTCCCAGAGTCCTTAAAACATTGAAAAAGAAGAGAGCGCTGCTTAAAAGATAGCAAAGCTAGCAAGCTCAGGACTTAGTTGTCAGCATTTATCAAAGGAAATATTTACTATTATATATATATTTGTACTGTGCGAATATTAAAGGCAGCCCTCGCACAGGTGCACAGCATGTGCTGAAGTTGCCTTTAAAATGAGCTGACATTTCGTTTAGCCAGCAGCTCTTTGACTGGGCGACTAAATAAATGCGCGACTTGATCAAAGTGACAAACTAAATATTTGATATTTTGTTTCTTATTCGGCTTGCTTAATCAATTGCTTATGATTTACAATAAGTTGTTTTTGTGCACACAAACACACACGCGTGTAACTTGGTCATTTCTCATTTCATTTTTGTTTCACTTTCTTTTGGTAATTGCCACACGCCTGGCCAGATCTCAAGATAAGCTGCCAGGTTAATTGAGTTTGTGGCTTGTACGAGTTTAATAAATTACATAAATGACAAATGTCAAGTGGCACATAAAAAAATGTATATGTACATATGAATTTCTACACACTTTGATATAATTAAGAATTATGCAATGACAAGCGGAAATGCGTACAATTTGTACAATTTTTATTTTAATCCCAAAAAATAATCAAAATCATAATAACTGTCTTCTGACATTGGCCAGCGAATTAGGCCTGCTGTCAATTAGCTTACGAGGCGCGACCTTCAATGCGCTTGTGATGACAGCCGTTGGCCGGGCTCAAAATGAATGCCACAAAAGCGAAAGGGCGCAGATCTTCTGCTGCCCGATTTCTAACACAATAAATGTTATAATTCATGTCGCCCTTTTTCAGACACAAATAAAATGTGTGTTAATATATGTAAATGGTTTGACAGCTAAAAATAAAATAATGCAAACTTGTTTGTTGAACTCGTAACTGGCAGCGGCTATAATCTTGTATAAGCCAGCAAAGGCCACAAGGCGCTCAAATATTGCATTTACTTTCAATAATGCACACAAACACAATTTGTTTGATGCCGGAACTCTCTATGTCTAAAAAGTCTCGTGTCTTTGTGGGCTTTAGTCATGGCAGAACTGCATAAATGGATTTTGGTTCCCTGGCGAATTAAACTACTTGTTAGCCACACACAAATTGAGTCCAACTATGTTTTTGTGCGCTTGCAGCAAAGACAGCTAACAGGCAGGCGCCACAACTGGTAACTAGATCTCTTTCCATTGGAGCCTTATCTGCGGCACACTTTGTGCCACCTCCTACCCGCACCCCCTTCCGATGCAACACTCCTGTACGTATTCTCACGCGTTGCACAATGAACAGACACGCAGACAGACAAACAGCCCGCAATAGAGGCCCACAGCAACAATGTGGCAAAAGGTTTAATTGCAACAACTGGAGCATTCTATATATGTGAGTGTGTGTGTGGGTGTGTGGAAATATAAATTTGATTATTAAATAATTGTTTTGCTGATCTAATATAGGGTCGCACGGAAGAGCAACTCTTGCCACATTAACACATGAATGCAAATTATTGCCAATGGCCAACCAAATAAGAAAATTGCAACTGCCATAAAGTTGAGCGCACAGGCCAAACGTGATGATGTGTTGCTTCCTTATAATGAAATGCGAGAGATTCGCGTAGTCGGAGATAAATACCCTATATCACATGTGCGTTATAGTCTAAGTATATCTGACAACACAATCGTTTGCTTTCGATATGGCAGCAGTGTGATATGTGAGACTAAACTGGCTCAGGTATTTTTAAATAAAAAAAGCAGTAAAGCAGTTCAGGCGGTAACTCTTTTGAATCTTAGATTAAACAATAAATAAATAAATGAAAATAAATAAGTTCGGTCGCGATAAGACTTTGCTCATAAGCACAATAAAGTTCAACATAGCTCAATTTGGTTCATTCAAAAAAGAATAACACGTATTTCGTATCAGTTTTCATTTGAACTGGCAACTTTATGTTCTAATGGTTCGAACCGGCCAACCGGCCATTGATCTTTAAAACTTAGACAATAGTTTGCATAGAAATATATATATATATATACTATATCGAACAAGCATATAAATATACTTTTAGACTTGGAATATATTTCATTTAATGCATTACACAAACTGCGACAAAATTTGAACAAAATTTGCAAAGGTTTAATAAGACACGCACACACACGTCCAAGTTTGGATGCCAGCACGAACCGATTCGCACTTTTTGGCCACAATCGATTTTAGTTGTTAGAAAAGAAACAACAACAACACACGCGTTGCAGGCCAACTTAATTAACACCGTTCTTTGTTTTGGGCACGCAAGAAGTGCAACAAGTCAACAAGCACGGCGACCGACAAGGCTATTGGCCAACTGCATACCCTTGGCTACGGATAGCTTAATTGGATATAAGTATATATATATATATGTATTTTGTTGCAATCGATTTTGTGCTCTTGCATTAACGAGCAGTATGCATGCGGATATGGTGAGAGTCGCATTCGGGCGGCGGCGCACTGGAACATTGGTTATGCCTTAAAAACCGAACCGCGCACTGCAGCAAACCGATCCGAATCCAATAGCGCACCGCACTTTAATATAATGCATGGCAATTGCCACTTTAACCGTTAAAAATCACAGCGACGACGGCGGCAGCGACGGCGACGGCGACGGCGACGACGTGCCCCGTGCCAAACAGACTAATGCATTCGCGTTCGTTGCCTAAGTCTTTTGTTTTGCTCGTTGCACTCGCCGCTGCGCGCTGGCCAATTTGTTAGCGGTTAGCTCTATTAGAGGTTTTCATCTGGCATTAGCTTACTTTGAGGCACATTCAGCTTGCTGTTCCAAGCGTATTCGTGTTCGTTTTCTTAATTTGTTGCTGCTCGCGACACGTCCAAGCGTTGCGGTTGCCGTTTTGCGACTGCGCTCGTATCACAGCCACACCGAATTTTATAAGAGCTTTTTTTTAACACATATCAAATAGCTAAGCTGCATGCAAAAGCACTAGTGTTCAAACATACCCTATATAAAAAGCAGGAATAGAAATTTGTACATTATTTATAAATCAATTTTAATTTGTTTTAATTAATCTACCTAACCTTAACTAAAATGCATGTTCTTCTTGCATACAAAATATACTTATAATAAATTGTATACCATAAAGCAGTTAACATTTAGTTTCATCAAAAGACTAATAATATTAGTATGAACTTATTATTAAGTTATTATTTAAATTCTCAATCTCATAATAATCCATTTAAATATAGGAAATAATCAAGATATATAAGTAAATTAAATAATAAAATAAAATAAATGAAAACATTAAAACTGCATATATATTTATTATATATATTTTGTGTGAATTGCCAATTGTGTTTAATTAAATTAAGTTTCTTTAAAACTGAATAAGCCGAAATTTCGCCATTCTTTTGTGCTTTTAATATAATTATATATACTACCCAAATATATAAAGATATAGGTAGCAACGAACAAACTTTCACCTTACTTATAAATATCAGAATAGGATATCATGCCATATACCCGTTGCTTGGCCTCGCTACAGGGTATATTTTTAGATAAACGGCGAGAAAATGTCTGGCGCCATAAAATCGTTCCCAGCTCCAAACTGTTGCAGTGGCATTTTGGCGCTCTTATACGTGTTGACACGGCGATTATTCATACGCTCCGTTGGCCAGAGTTGAAAATTGCAGCGACTTCTGCCTTAACTGAGCTTTTGGCTGGCGGCACATCTTCCGCGAATTTGCATTAAATTGTTTGCGAGTGACTGATTGTTTTTACGACATGTAATTGGCTTTTACAAGTTCATTATCGCAATTTCTTGATAATAAATTTACACAAATTTCTGACGTATATAAATTAGCCTTTACGGTAGCGTGCAAGTCGATTATGTGCGCGGGGCTGGCTGCATTTCAATAGTTTGCAAACGAATTGAAAAAATTGTACACAGGACAAACAAGCTTAATCAAATTGTAACGTTCCTTTCGGATTCGGTTTTTGATGAAATACGCCGCGGGAAGAGACATAAATATTAAAACCTGTTTCTCTGCAATTAAGAATTCTTATGCAAATCTGTCGAGAATCGCTTGAGTCTGTTGGCTTTTGTTAACCAATCAGCTTGTCGGGCACGTAATAAACATATAATTAGTTTCATACAATACAATTCTAAGCGAGTTATTGCCAATTGAAGTATATCGAAACCAGATATTTTGGTATGGAAAGCAAAAACAGCTTCGAATATGTAATGTTTTATTTATTTACAATTAGACAGAAGAGAGATCCTTTACTTTACCATTCCTGTTGACCAAAACCCAGTAAATTGTCATAATAGGCTGACAGAAGGGTATCTACAGGTCGTGTACTCTCAACAAGCGCATTCCCCGCTATTTAAGGCATTTACTTGTTTATGTACCTACAGCTTATTAGTCAAGAAAACATGTATCTTTCTGTTAGCCACACTTTTCTCTAAATTGGTGAATTCAAAAATATAGAACATATAAGAACATAGAACATTTAGCTGGTGTTAATGTGACTAATTAATTAATTAAAAAAACACACTGTTATGAGACAGGACAGAATAGATTAAAAAGCATTTCGTTATACGCTGTCAACATATTTTGCTTTATGCAAATGAATTCTTAAATTATTTTCTTCGAATTCTGTGTGGGTCGCAGCTTGATAAACGCCTTTATTAAAAATTATTTTAACTGTCTTCCTAATTGAAGGTTGCTGCGAATCATGATACAATTTTGTTGATGCCCTCTTCAAGGCTATAAAACAAAAACATAAACAACTTTGAAGCTGATTTATATAAATAAAATAAATATATATGAATACATATTAAATATATATATATAATATATATAAGCCTGACTGCTGTACCCTTTGACTTAATGTTTAAGATACAAATCCAAAACAGGTGTTCGTTGGATGTACTGCAACTGGATTTCATAAGACTGGCGGGGCATATGCGCTCAACTGGCCACATGGGGACCAGCACTTTTGGAGAATGGTGAAAGCCCAGTTACAGCCTGGCTCTAGACCAACAACTTGTTTGCCCATAGCCAGTGCTTGACCAAATTGACAGCCAAAAACAAAATTGTTATCGAATTGAAAAGTAAAGCACACACACACACATATGAAATCCAGGTCTCGAATCGAATTTAATTGCGACTTTTGTTAAATTCTGTGGCAAAATGTCATCAAAATAGCTGCAGCTAGTCCGCAAAGGGGTTATGCAAAAAAAAATTATAAATAAAAAGCAATTGTTGCGGCCACAAAAATAACAACAAGAGCAACGGCAACGACAGCAACAGCGACAACGACATTTAAACTGGTTTGTGCCGCCAGAATTAGCCAACTTGCCGCGGATTTTGGGTACTTGTAGGCATGTGGCATGTTAGCTTTGGTTGCATGAATCACACACCATCACATTATGTGGCTTGGCAATGTCTAGTCTCTAGACATTCCCGAAAAGTTCATCCGGCAAGGGTTTAATTGGCCAAATACGAGCAGGCCAAGAGACATTCACTTCGTTTTAATCGCTCATAGATGGCTAATCGACTTAATATACGAAGCCAATATGTATATTTAGTATAAAGTACTTAATGATTGCCGATTCTAAGCACAGACACACCCCGAACACAGGCCAAAGTCAAGGTCAGCTTGCCAGGCTGGGCACGGGCTTTGCATATGTTAATTGGCCACATGTGATATAACCGCAATTCGAGCTGCATGAAATTTACCTGCACTTGACCATAACACGCTTAAGATTACGGTTACGACATCGGAGCCGGAGCCGGAGCTGAGAGCTCAAGCCGGTCAATTTATTGTAGATTGTAGGTGGCATCGCCCCTCAGTTTTCCTTTCACAACGACAACAGCAATGCCCCCAAAAGTCGCTCATTAACTGTTGTGTATTTCGAAAGTGAACAAAATTTATAGAGAAACCAAATCTGTGCAAAGCAATGCGCTCTAGGCCTGCGCCCAAGCCCAATCTCTCATGATGTGGCGATTGGATTCCACATTTGTACATGCGAGTGGACCCGCTTATGACTATCGTATCTGTTGCTCTGACATTACGAAATAAACTTTTAGTATGCCAATGACTTTATTATGTACTCATTCACAATGGCTAAAAAAGGGTATAATGGTTTTGGCCAATTGCATGTAACTGGCAATAGAAGGCATTTCCGATCAAATTTAACTCATTAACTAACGATAACTCGCCTAGTTGCTGTAATATCGATATGTATCGATTTATAGCAATGTGCTTATCTTGATCTAGAACAGATTTCCTGGGCACTAACTCCCTTACTGTAGATCAAGCATATTTCAGCTTTCAGTTTTCCGAGACCTTAGCTAGTTTCCCCTAAAATTAAAAGTTAAATGTGCTCGACTACGAAATTCCCTGTACTCTTCAGTCAATATTAATATGTGTGTAGGTGTGTATATATTAACTCACAAGGTTTTGGCTTTAAAAATTTGTTTATCCATTTTGTGATAAATGAGGGAGCTCTCGATGAAATGAAATATTCATATTCTGTGTATACTATACGAGAGCCTATAATCTAAATATACAAAGCAGTTATCAAAATCGATTTTTATCGATGTATGCCCTTCCTTTACCCATTCTCAATAAGTTGGAATGTAGCTACAGCAGTTCGAAGTTGGGTATAGCCAAGTCGCATACTCTCGACTTGAGCCCTAGTACTTGATTTGTACTCATTGTGTGGGCTATTTGAATGCCCGTCCAATCAACACATGCGCATACCTTGCCATCATTATCCCCTCATCAGTATTGTCATTGCTTTATTTTGTGCAACGGACTGAATTTTAATGGCCAATCCGATCCGTTGCGGCCACCCGTTTGCGGCCAGTTTCATTAATGGTTTCGGTGTGTTGACAAGGTCTTTAATTTGCCAAGCACTTGAAGCATTTTGGCTTTTGTTAGTTTTGTTTGGCTTCTGTTAGCCTGGCGCTTGAACAATTCTAAATGCCAAATTCGGCACAAGACTCAATTAACTAATATGCAACACATGAGCCGTGGTGTTGAACGCCCCTAATGCGCGCCTCAAGAGTGCGCGCCTCAAGATCTCTATAAAAGTAGCCCATTTAACCAATTAGAGCTGTCTGCGGCTTTGAAAGACTCCACCTCCACAGTTGAGGTGCGCCAACAGCCGGTTTTCCAACATCGTCGTCGCATTGTACTTTCAGTTTTAGCTCATTTCCCGTACAAGCCAGCCCAGATTATCGATAGCACATGTATATATATATACATATATATATATACCTCGATATATACCTCGAGTAACCAACGAGCCATGGCTTTTAAATACGAATACAATACGAGTTTTATTCGGATCTTACTTTGTTGTCTTTCTTCTTTTTTTAGCTGCGGTCAGTTTGCCATTGTATGCACTCCTTCTGACAGCCATAAATCAGAGCATAGACTAACCAACATATATATTTATATTTCTATTCTCTTGAGTGAAGGCCAGCACCACGGCAAAGCCACAGCACCACTGACACTGCTGGCCCACACACCAGGAGGTGTGCATGGTGCTGCAAAGTGAAGTGGATATGCAAGTTGCATTTTTCTATTGAATGTCAAACGCTTAGGCCAGCACAGAAGCACAAACACACTAACAAAACACTTAAAAAAAAAAAATTAAATAAATACTTAAAATACAAAATAAGTAATTAGATTCCATAGAGTTATATCATATAACACGTCTGTAATATATTAGTTAGCGCATCAGCCCACACAAAGTGAAAGTCATTTCCTTTTTTTTATATACATATATATATTTTTTTGTTTATCATATCAGCTTGTATGTTAAATTTGCCATAGCATAAAAGGCTTGATGACAGCATAATAAACCCGGAATTGAATAGAGCTCCAGTTGCCATTTGTACAAAGGGACTGCGGCAATGTGTATACTCTAACGGTAAGTGTGTACGCACAATATTTAACATATTTTGTAGCTCATTGCAAACCGGCTGCACTTTTACCATCGACGAAAATGCGAATTGTAAATTTGACATAAAGTTTTATCTGTTGACAATTAATTTAAATTGTGCGTAGCTCCATAACAAATGCAATTTAAAAACGAATGAATCTTGTTGCAGTTGAACTCAATTCTATCATTATCATTCAGATACACTTCTCTGCCCTCGTGATATCAAAAGTTTGTTTGAGCAACCTGTTTACATATATCCTGGACTGGTTTATTAAGTACATGCACAAACATGTTAGTCTATATGTAATACCCGCTCATGGCGGTTGCGAAACTATAAGAAAGATATACGGCTGATGCGTCTTGAAGGAGCTTTAATATTGGAGACTATGGTATAAGGTTTGTATGAGCATGAAAAAATGTCATATAAAACTATAAATATATAAATACTAGCAAGTATTCCCCGGCCTTGCCCGTTTTATGCTTTAATTTTAGATATTACCTTTCCTATAAGTGCACGCCCGTGGTAAATTGAAATCTACTCGTGGCATATTGATCTCCACTTCTATTTAAATATATGTATAAATATGTATAACAGAATGGCATAGTATACATGTATGTATAATAGAGAAAATCACTGTCTCCTAGCAGAGAATAAGAAAATAAAAACCGAAAATGTTCGAGAGAAAAGGTGAATGTTAACTAAAAACCATTTGTATACATGCTCGATGAAATTAAACGTCAAAATGAAAATGTGGTATAATTTTCTGCATGTGCCCATACTGGGTAACTGCTAGTCGTGAACGTTTGGCTCGTGAATGACTGCTCGTTTTGTACGCACTTGCATAAAAACCCATTTCTTATGCGAGATGTCGCAATAAGTACATAAATTTTGCGAATATGAATGCTGAATACTGCCTTGTCAGACTTCACGTCGTTTTTTGGCGCACGCAATTTTATTCATTTTTTAGGCACTTATCATTTATGTGTAGTAGAATATCCAGTTTCTTTTACGCACATTTTCTATGCCAGCCAGTGATCGTAAGAGTCCGGGTGTGGCAGGAATAATATTGTACACTAAATACAGGCTACATTTAATGTGGTGTTTGTTGATTTATGCGAGAGACTTTTATCTTTGTGGAGCAGGGCTCCGGCAAGCTACCAATCTAAGCAGCTCCATAACTAAGCAAACAGCAGGTAATCATGATCTTGGCTGGGCAGACTGTTGCCGTGGGCCAGCTCATGAATTGAAAATTAGCATAGGTAATTGGTTAATAATAACTATGGGGAGGCCCGGGGCTCCCTTGTGACTCAGAGTATGTCGCAAGGCGGCGTGCCCCACTCGGGGCGTGTCGCAGTCAGTTGTCGTTCGCATGTCAACGCCACAATTACGGTACTCAAGTGTTGGCCACATTTGTGTGGCCCTGCTGCTGCTGCTGCTGCAGCTGCAAGCGCGCACAACTGTGGCGCAAGGATTTGGGCTCAATTTGATGCAGGTGCCCAGCGAGGACAAGTCTCAGGCGGCATGCAGCTTGGCGCTGCTACAAAAATATTTCAATTCCGGCGATGCGTTGTCGGGCGCCGTGCTCTGCGTGAGTGTCACACAGAACACTCCCGATGTGCTGGAACAGCTGATGCGGGCCTTTGATCTGCACCAGAGTTACACGTGGAGCATACTGGTAACAAGCCCGCGGCAAAAACAAATCTCCAATTCCAATATGCAGGTCATGCAGGAGAAGCCGCAATGTTATTTTCTCATTGTGGAGGATCTGGACGATGAGGATCTGGAGGAGACATTCGGCTATTGGCGACGCATGCTCAACTGGAATCCCTTGGCACAGTTTGTGGTCTATTTGGCATCTATAGAGGACACAGATGAGGAGATGACAGACCTGATGGTAGAGATACTTTTGACCTTTATGAGCAACAACCTCTACAACGTGAATGTGTTTGGCCAGAGCGAAGAGAATAGCTTCTACTATGGCAAGACGGTATTTCCATATCATCCGGATAATAATTGTGGCAATCGTGTGATTGCCATCGATCTCTTGGATGCCTGTAGCTATGTGGATGGGGAAGAATCTGACAACGGCAGTGACGACTATGACGACGAGGAGACAAGCCTCGAGGAGGAGACTGATGAAAATCAAAGTGATGAAAATATGCCAACAGACGATGTGCATGATACTGAAACAACCGAAGATGAACAAGTGGGATTCAATGCAATAGAACGCTCCTATTCGGAATCATATGCTGCCGCTGAGGCATCCATGGAGTCATCGACAATGGAAAATAGCGCTGAGAGGGTTAACGTCAACGGATCAGCGCCAACAAATGGCACTCAGTCCGAGACAACAGTCGAGGAATATTTGCGCGCCCGCTTTGAGGATAAGTTTCCAAGGGATCTGAGCGGTTGTCCCATTAGAGCTGCCTACCGGGGTCCTTGGGAGCCCTACATATTCACCATTGCGGAGACCAATGCGCCGGAGATGGCAAATTACGAGGAGGGTGCTTCAGCTAATGTAACCGAGATAAGCTACGATGAAGGCATTGATGTGGAAGACTATACCATTGAGAATGGCAATCCCGGCAGCCATGACACCGATGAAACCTTGGGCTTCACCAAGCTGACTGGCATTGAGTATCAGCTGGTGCAGACCATAGCCCAGCGACTGCACATGAGCATCGATTTCAAGACGAAGAGCACCAATGTGTTTCATCTCTTCCAGCAGCTGATTGAGGGGTAAGTGAAGCTGTCTTTAATCATGGCTGTCAATCCGAACTGATTGCCACACTCATGCCTACAGCATATAAATTGATAAAAAAAATATGGTATTTAGCCTAATACTCTTTTCCGTAGTCAAATCGAAATGATTGTCGGCGGCATCGATGAGGATCCCAGCATTAGCCAGTTTGTATCCAGCTCCACATCGTACCATCAGGATGAGCTCACCTGGTGCGTGGCCAAGGCGAAGCGCGAGCACAGTTTATTCAATTTTCTGGCAAGCTTTGATACCAGTGCTTGGCTTTTGCTGCTGCTGTTCATCATTGTCAGCTCTTTAGCTGTGCTGGTGGCGCAGCATGTTTCCGCTGTTAAGCTTAACAGTCAGCACAATTATCTGACCATCTGCCTGCGCATGCTGGGCATACTGCTAACCCAGGCGACTAATGTGAATACCCGAACCTTGTCGTTGGCGCTGCGATTGGTCTTCTTCACTGCCTTCATTTTGGCCTTCTTCTTCAGCAACACCTATCAGAGTTTCTTGATAAGCACACTCACAACTCCGACCACACAGGCTCAAATAAGCGAACTGGAAGAGATCTATGGCAAACGCATGACCATTATGGTCAGTTCCGAAAACGTGCGGCATCTGAACAAGGAGGGCGAGGTGAGTGGCCAATTTTTCATAATCAATAAAATCAATTTTTAAATGAGCTTATTTTTAATATTAATCGTAGAATTTTTGATACCCTGTTCCCTTCCCCAATGTGAAATCAAAATTGCTCGATGTAGAAGTCATGTTTATTGAGTGTATCTCAAAGGTATTAAGAGCTAGAGATGCCAAATGTTGCATTTTACCTCATACAGTATATATGTATGAGTTTTTTCGTTTACGTTTTGGACACCTTTGTGAAGGGTATCTGCTAGTCGAGCTTTTTCCACCGGAGCATTTAATATACATACTCTGTTTACGATTTCTTTGATTTTAGCCAGTCGTTACCTTCTTCCCCCTCTACCTCTCTTTCTCTTCCTCTCTCTCGTTGTCTATCTCTCTGTCCCTCTCTCTTCTTTCTTCCCCTCTCTTCCTCTGTTTATCTCTATCTTATTCTCTGTCTCTTTCTCGCTCCCTTTATTTCTCTCTCCTTCTGTTCTTCTTCTTTCTCTTTTTCTCTCCTCTTTTCTAGCTCTCTCTCTATGTCTCTCTCCCTCTCTCTTCCTTTCCATTGTTCTCTCTATAACTCCCGCTCACTCTGCCTCTCAAACTCTACTCTTATTCTCTCTTAAAGTCTTTCTCTCTCTCTCTCTCTCTCTCTTGGTCCCCTTCTCTCTCTTTCTCTGTCTCTCTGATCTCTTGATCACCAATCGGTCAGTCAGTCAGTCAGCCAGGATAAACAGTTTTATATATATATTTCTTTCTCTCTTTCTCTCTTTCTTGTAGACCTTCAAGTACATACGCGAAAAGTTCCAGATTTGCTATAATATTGTGGAGTGCCTCAACTACGCTGCCGACAACGAGCACATCGCCGTGGTTGTGTCCCGGCAGCACGCGTTCTACAACGCCCACATACAACGGAATAGGCTCTACTGTTTCGATCGCCGGGAATCCTTGTATGTGTACCCAGTGGCCATGCTGCTGCCCAAGAAATATCATTTGCTGCACCACATCAATGCGGTGATACAGCACGTAATCGAGTCGGGTCATATGCAGAAGTGGGCACGGGATCTGGACATGGTGCGCATGATACAGGAGAAGATCGCACGCGTGCAAGAGGATGCCTTCAAGGCGCTGACACTTGCCGCCTTTCAGGGCGCCTTTCTCTTCGCCAGTCTACTGTTGCTGCTGGCCAGCGGCGTCCTTGTCCTGGAGTGCCTGGTCTACTGCCTGGTGGTTAGGTGGCGCACGCGTCTCCGGCTACTGCGCTGCCTGCACCGCCGATTGACTTACGGCAGGACGTAGGCGGCGTGCTTCAGTTTGGCGTATTACGCAGCCACGCCAAGTGGATGCGTTGACAAGGGAAAACGTTGCGGATTGTAATATACAAATTGCAAAAAATTCTTTCTCAAATTTATATATATATATAGTACATATTTGTACTTATATATATTTCATATTTTCTTGGCACATTATTCAATTTAAAAATACAGAACTGCATTCTGCCGTGGAATGCACGGCAGCGTTGCCGTTGCGGCTGCTTGTCATAATCCCAGAAGTTGTCGACGTTCCACAGTGGCTTCTAAGCGTAAAATAAGGGGCACATAGCCGAAACAAATGGCAAACAGTTTCGAATATGCATATTTTTGAGTTAGCCACAAATTTGAAAAACTTGGAATGCATTTTTTTAAAATACTGCTAAATATCTATTTCTTTATATCTTGGGGAACTCTTAATTATTTAATATACAATCTTAAAATTTCAATATATATAATCTTAAAAACTTCAGAAGCATTGTTTATACATCATTTATTATTTATTTATTTTTTTAAATGATTAAAATTGTATTTGATAATTTATTTTGTCAAAATATGAAGATATTTGTGAACAGATATTGTTGTTTATTTTGACATATTTCAAATACTTAATTTTCATTGGCAAGCTTTTATTTATTTTTATCAACAGATTAACAAATTGCCCCACTGTGCTTAGTCGTCGTCACCTCCTTTGCACTGGCGCATCCTTAAAAGGTGGTGGCCTACTGCGCCCGTACACAAATATAATACACATATATCTAGATATATATATGTTCATAATTTTTTATAACATACATATTTTTAGACTAACACATTTGTTGTGGTATCATCAAATTGGCATCTTTTTGTTGTTGCTGGCCAACACAATTCAATCAGCTGCTTGTGTATAGAGCCAAACGGTCGAACGATCCGCTTGACTGAATGAGTTTTGCGCCATGCTCATTGAATACTATTAATTTCCATTTAGAATGAATCGAACATGTATACCGATCAACTAGTTCACTTATATATATGATATATATATATATATATATATCTACTACAAACCAATATCAAAGCTCGAAACTTTAAAAAAGACCTTGAAAGAACAAGTTTCCCATTCGTTAAAAATATTTTTATAAAATTCTGTATCTGTATAATTAGCCAATTAAACTATTAAAGTTTATTAAATATGCATGGCTAATTAAAAATTATGGTCAAATTAGCTGATAAAATCATAAAGCTATGTGCTAATATAAATAACATCGATTCGATTGTGTTCAACCTTAGGATGTCCCCCACTCAAAACACTATTAAGTGTTTTAATAAAAATACCACAAATAAATAAGTACATATCTTCTAGTATAGTTTATGAATCAATTCCCCGTTCAACAAACGAGCAGCAAAAAATACAAAAATAAATTGGGGTAGGGTCGGGTAATAGCACGCAGCAAAGGGTATAACCAAGCCGTTGACGCCCCGCACAGTGTTTGCACCTGTATTATCTGGCCAAACACATACCCAAATAAACTTATATACTATATATATATATATGCAACATATTCAAAATCTGATCATATAAATAGATTTCCATTCGTATCTGCGCGTCAGCGTCAAAGAATCTTATGCAAAAACGTGAGAGCGCACGATATTTGAAATTTTTTGTTATTGTTGTTATTCTTTTTTTATTTTCTTCAAAAACAAGAACAACAACTAAGGCAAAAGTTCTTGTGTAAACAACAAACAAATATTTATTGTTATTGCTTTCGAGTTGATATTGAGCAAAAGCGAAAACTAGTCGAAACAAACTTCCCAAATATTGACTCGATTCTCAGGCATTTCCACATAATTGATAATGTGCAGCTTGTTTGATCTATAAATGCGATCATTTTCAGCTTGTAGATCTATAAATGCAATATGCGATCTATTAACAATATTCGACTTGTGTTTATGGTGCCGAAACCTCCACCTCCACCTCGACATCCATTCCGCCCCCCAATCTCTTCCACACCATCTACCTTCCATCAACCACCACCCACATTCACGCCCAACGAATTGTAGCACAGAATATTTTCGATACTTAAGTTTTTGTTTTGCTTAAAAATTCGTCTTTTTTTTGTCTAATTAAGAGTGCGCTCTTTGCCCAGAGACAGAGAGAGCGAGAGAGCAAGTGTTTGTGCTCCAAGCATCCCCATGTATGGATTGGACCAACGTGCAAATGCTGATTAAAAATTAGACAAAACAACAACAAAATAAAGACACACACGCACACACACACACGCACAGACGAAAAAACGCCTACGACGCCTCCACGGAGGATCCACTGTGTGTGTGTGTGTGTGTGTACATCAATTGCTCATGTGTGTGTGAACAATTTTTGTTTACCCTATGCTCAGCGACGGCTGTTTTGCTCGCTCGGAAAAAAATATGAAAGAAACAAATTATTTTTAAAGATATTCAAAATTTCCCCTTTAGCAAAATGTGCATCCATGTGCTGCATATCTGTCTGTTTGTATCTGTGTCTGTGTCCGTGTCTGTTTCTCTGTACGCGTATGTGTGCCTCTGTTTTTGTATATGTGTGGAAAATCTGCTCGACTGAGGGTCGCCCGAATGGTATAAATATTAGCTCATTACAGTCCAGCAGCCACTCGCAGTTCTACAGCGAAAGTGTTGCTATACAAGTTTACAGTTTTTCCTTCTTAACAGAACGGTTAGTAAGAATCACTAAAAAAAAAAATGAAAATAAAGTGAATTTTAGAACGAATTTGTTTAGGATTCATTCGTCATTCGTTTCCCAAAAATCTTGGTGTTCATTAAAATTGTTTATTCGTAGTTTATTTTACACTGTTATCTCGAGAAGTCTCGTTCCGATTTTCCAATAACCGACCAACATCTAAGTGTATGTAATTGCTGTCTCTTGCAGTAAAACAGATCATACGCCAGGATGTGTGATGATGAAGTTGCCGCATTGGTCGTGGACAATGGTTCCGGTATGTGCAAGGCTGGCTTTGCCGGCGATGATGCGCCCCGTGCCGTCTTCCCATCGATTGTAGGTCGTCCACGCCATCAGGGCGTTATGGTGGGCATGGGCCAGAAGGATTCCTATGTGGGCGATGAGGCGCAGTCCAAGAGAGGTATCCTCACACTGAAATATCCCATTGAGCATGGCATCATTACCAACTGGGATGACATGGAGAAGATCTGGCATCACACTTTCTACAATGAATTGCGTGTCGCGCCCGAGGAGCACCCGGTGCTGCTCACTGAGGCCCCACTCAATCCCAAGGCGAACCGTGAAAAGATGACTCAGATCATGTTTGAAACATTCAACGCACCCGCCATGTATGTGGCCATCCAGGCTGTGCTCTCCCTGTACGCCTCCGGTCGTACCACCGGTATTGTGCTTGACTCCGGCGATGGTGTCTCCCACACCGTGCCCATCTATGAAGGTTATGCCCTGCCCCATGCCATACTGCGTCTGGATTTGGCTGGTCGTGATTTGACCGACTATCTGATGAAGATCTTAACCGAGCGTGGCTACTCGTTCACCACCACCGCTGAGCGTGAAATTGTGCGCGACATCAAGGAGAAGCTGTGCTATGTTGCCTTGGACTTTGAGCAGGAGATGGCCACCGCTGCTGCGTCCACATCGCTGGAGAAGTCCTATGAGTTGCCTGATGGTCAGGTCATTACCATTGGCAATGAACGCTTCCGTTGCCCAGAGTCCCTGTTCCAGCCCTCGTTCTTGGGCATGGAATCTTGCGGCATTCATGAGACCGTGTACAACTCGATCATGAAGTGCGACGTGGATATCCGTAAGGATCTTTATGCCAACATTGTCATGTCCGGTGGCACCACCATGTATCCAGGTATTGCCGATCGTATGCAAAAGGAAATCACTGCCCTGGCGCCATCCACCATTAAGATTAAGATCATTGCACCACCTGAGCGCAAATACTCCGTCTGGATCGGTGGCTCCATTTTGGCCTCCCTGTCTACCTTCCAGCAGATGTGGATCTCCAAGCAGGAGTACGACGAATCCGGCCCTGGCATTGTCCACCGCAAGTGCTTCTAAGCACACACATGCACACAGCAAACGCACACACACACACACAACAAACAACTGGCGTCGCTTACCTGGCGTCTAGAACTTAATAATGATTAATTTTAAGTCAAAACCTCTTGCTGCCCTGCCAACCAGACGGACATAGAAGCCATATATCGACCAATCAGACAGCAATGGAATGTATTATATTTATATTAATATTTATTGGAAGTGTCGCAGATGACGAATGGAGAAATTGAGAAAAAACAACATATTAAAAAAAAAAAATAATAAAAACAATCGAAATTTTACAGTCTTACAAATAAATAGCATCCATTTTAAAGTATGTGGCAATTTTCTTTTTTGAATTTTCTTAGCATTATTTTTAGCACGCAGGAAATTACGGTAATTTTGCACACCCACCCCCACCAAGGTGTAGCTGACGCCCAGCAAGTGCACATCGCACACACACACTCGGGCATAGGTGTAGCTATCTATACACCAGGCATGTACATGTGCATATGTATATTCGCTCTTCCAAAAATGTTCATATTTCAGGCAAGAACTCGCAGCAGATGCAACTATTTCCCCCCCTAGTCGAGAAGGCTAAAAATAACATTCTATGAAAATAACAACACGATGCGAAGCATACAAGAAAATGTTTTTCTTGAAAATAAAATTCATACATGACCACACACCAGTGCAGACATTTGGCGTCGACGACTTTTGGAAACAACATTAAACACTAAACAGTGCCTGCCGGCTGTCTTCTAATTGCAGTGCCACAATGCGACCCTCGGCTGCTGCGAAAATATCTTGGAATTTCAAGTACACACATGTGTGTGCGTGTGTACTTGAACATAGCAGGTCATATGGCAGCTGGTGGCCCTTCCTGGAATGGGCCGCCTAATTGAAAAAAAATAAGCCCAAAAATTATTTCCGTATATGTATGCACTTTTATTTTACATTTAATTATAGAAATGCATTTGTTTTTTTTTTTAAAGTTGTATACAAAAATTGGAAATGCTCGCTTTGCACTTAACAATTGATATTTAGTATATATGTATATGTTTGTATATGAGTAGTTGTTCAGTTAGCTGTCGTTTAGACGTCATGAGCTTGACTCCAGATTTAAAATTGAATGCAACAATATAAATATAAAAAATTCAATTTAAAATCTGTGACAATATCGTTGTTCATTTTGTTTACATTTTTTTTCTTTTTCATTCTCTGTTAATTGGAATACTGCAATTTTAAAATATATATATATTCATTTGTCACATTTTCTTAGCTATAATATAGAGCGTTGCATATTAAGCAGAAAGACATCACTTTGCTTGATTAAAAATCCAGTCTATACACTTATTATTTAATTGAATACATTATGTAAGATTTAAGTACACTGTTTCGTAAAGCACACTTTTCACGCTGACGAGTACACATAACGTACATATAGTGTAAATATAATTTAAGGCACATTTAATGGACAGATAACATATTCAGTTTCAGTTTCAGTTTTCATTTTGATTGGACCTGCTCTCTCATTGTCTTTAATGTTGCTGCTATGTGGAATGCTTAAAAGAATGTTGTCTAAGGTTGTCATAGCTATATTCTTATGTATATAGTCTTATTAAATAAAAAATGTTTAAATTTAAACAATAATTACAACTGTGTTGTAATAACGGATTTGCGTATTATGGTCGGCTCCCGTCCCTTGGGCGCTGAAACAATTTCCGAGGAGACCAGCCAGGGTGAGACCATATCCCTGTTGTTGCTAGTGGCTGGAATGCGATTGTTGTCCTGCTGATTGCTGCTTTGCTTCTGTGGATAATTAAGAGTTTTACAAATGTATATAATACAAAGGGAAAATTTGTTGTAGACTTGGTTAATAGTAGGTGCATATTGAAATGAAAACATATGTTAGTTTGCAAGGCCAGTTAAAGAAAAAATGCTGTTTCCAAACTCTGTTTGGGCCAAACCTTTTCGCTTTGCGGCGCATCGACTTCGCTCTGGTTGGGCTGCTGATTCGCCTTCTGCGCCTCCAAGCGCTCCTGCTCGCTGAGCGTGGAGAAGAGCAGCGTGCCAGCGCTGGGCGTTGATGTGGTTGAGGATTTTGTTTTTGCCTCTGATTTGCTGTTGCCGCCGTTACTAGCATTATTGTTTATGATATTGTTAATGAAAATTTCATTAATGAGTATTTCGGCTGCCGAGGCATTGCTCAGCAAGGAGCTGCCAGTCCCACTGGTAGCACCGGCCAGTTCCGCGGCAGTGCTGCTGTTGCCGCTACTGCTGGCAGTAGCATTTACGCCAGCAGCTGTACTGGTCGACGTATTAATGCTTGTCACACTGGTGGCCATGCTGCTGCTGGTGGTGTTGTTTATTGTCGCTGGCAGCGATGAAGGCGGCGTTGGTGGCCCACTGAAGGCAGACACAAAGGTGGCATTGCTGAAGGGTGAGTTGCTGCTGGCCGGGGCATTAGCATGGCTATTGATGGTGCTCGAGCTGCTGCTGCTGCCACTGCCGTTGCCACTGCTCGGTTTTTGTTCCGGTATGCTGAGCGTCAGCTTATCGCCGCCCTGTTTTTATTTTGTGTGTTTTAAGCGTTTACAAAGCCAAGCAAACATTAAACACATCGACAACGAACACACAACAGCACGCGCACACACGCACACACACACATACACAAAACACAAAGTGCACACAACGAATGTAAATAAAACAAAAAATAAATAAATGTACAGAAAAAGCATGAAAAAGTGCAAGGCATGAGGCTAACTGGTTTGCTATCCAACTCACCACTGATATGTAGGTGGCATTCAGGGAATCCGGTCCATCGCTGTGTGTATGATTGTTGCTACTGATGTTATTATTATTCACGTGCATGTTGCTGCTGCTGTTGCCGGAGTGAGCGGCAGGCACAAACATTTGATTGGTCAGCTTAGCATTGCCGCTGCTAGCGCCCATCTCTTCCTCCACGCGCGCTACGCAAACAAATAAATTTTGAGAAATAATCCAGTAAAAAGTGCACATTTCATCTTACCTTTTAGTATATTGCACTTGATATTGCCCGGTGGAAGGGAAGTGGCTCCCACATTGGCCAGCTTCACTTGATTGTTGGGCTTCTCATTTGTATTTGAAAGCCGCTTCAGTGTCTCCGTATTATGATCCATGTCAAAGGTCTTGTTAATCGTTACCCTAGAAGCACAGAGATATGCAAATTTAATATTATAATTTACAAATGTTGAGCTTATTATATTTTATGTATATTATTTACGCTACCTGATACTGTTAGCATCATTAATGGCTTCATTTGCAAGCACTGATGGGGATGGATCTTTAACAATGGACTTAAGTAATGAATCTAGCTCTCTATCTTTATCCGATAAGCCGCTCCTAACACTGCACAATGATATACACAGAATACAGAACATAACACAAATATGCGTGAGAAATACAAAACAATGCGTATTAGTCAAAAGAAAATAGAGAAGCAATACAAGTGGCATAGCAAGGCAATAGACAATTCCGGCACACACCTGAGCTGGCCCGAGCTAATTGAGGCCTTGCCAAAGCTGCCATGATGCGATGTGGCCGCACTTCTAAATGGATTCGTCTCGTCAAAGTTCTTGGTGGCATTCGGTGAGTAGGGTGGCGTGTACTCTGGTTCCAACCTAAGACAATAAAATGGGCATAAGTACGGTTGGTAATTTCAAGCAAATTAATTTTGCATACTTCACAGAAAGACCCGCCGCCTTGCCAATGGAGCCAATTTTGCTATAGGCCGGATCATCATTGCTAAAGTTGGATTTGAGGGAATTGCGACCCAGTGAGGGACAGGTGGCAGCTGCATGAGTGGAAGAGCTAATGGAAGCACTGCACGCCGCGTCCGGCTCAATAATGGCCGAATTTTGTATAACTGTCAGCACGGAGGGTGAGGGGGTAACGGTAATAAACGGATCGGCCGAGATGAGCGAATCGAATGTTTCGTTATTGTTCTCATTGCTTGAAACGGAAGGAACAACAGATGCCGCTGACGACACTTGAGCTGCAGCGGCTGCAGCTGCAGCGGCAGCTGCACGTGCATTGACCGAGGCAACGGCAGAGGCTGCCGATTCCTGCGAAGCCTTCTGACGTTCGCGCAATAAATGCGACTGGCGACTGGCGAATCTCTGCGAGGGCCGACGTTCAAATTGCACGGTGCGCCGGGCGCGGCTCTGCTGCGTGGTCTGAAATTCAGTGCGGCCAGAGTAACGGAAGCGCGAGCCCATGCGGAAGAAGTTTTGACGAGCCGACGGTCCTTTGACAGGTGCTCGCAGACGGAAGAATGTGTGATGCTCTACGGCGCACTTCCACAGATGCTTGCAGGCCTTCTCATTGTACAGTCGAAAAACGAAGGTGTGCTCCTGCTCACGACCCTCGTCGTCGTCTTCAATAACAATCAGCGTAAGTTTCTTCTTCTTGAAATCCAATTTGCTTATCTTGGGCCAGAAGAAGAGGCCAATCTTTTGATCACGCTCAAAAACCAGAATGCCAGTGGGCGTTAGACCCAGATGATACTCGCAACTATCTTTGCCCAGCACCGTATGCATATCCACGCCGTACATATCCAGCCACTTGGCCTTGTTCAGAAAAGCGGTTTCCGCTTGCGCCGGCGTTAGACCACGGCATGTCTTATACTCTTCCAATATGGCGATTTCCAGATCCTCCGTTTGTTCCGGGACAAAACGAAACTCCGAGACGGTAGCTGCCGAATGCACCTGATCGTCAAAGTCACCCAACTCCGCTGTGGATGCAAAACTGAGTATTATTTTTATACAAAATTAAAGAATACACAGTTATAAAAAATGCGCACAAGCTACCCATTAACCCGTTGCTGGTCTAACCCAACCTTTGCGTCTACAAAGGTCACAGCAAAGGTGGCCATTCAACTTTTTGAGCGTGCATTGTATATAACTTTATATTCTTTTACAATTGCTAACTCAGTGGGAATCACGTACACTGCAAGGCCAGCGCGCAGAGCTCAGCAGATTTGTCATCCGGACAGTCTAGACGCCCCTCTAGCAAGTCTTGTTTCAGTTGCAAGAAGAACAAATAACGCGTTAGCTCCTCGCGCAACGTATTCGGCTCCGACGAGTAGAACTTGACCTTCAAACGAAATGTGTACGGTGGTCCAACTATAATTTAAATAAAGCATTAAAAACTAAACGCAGCTGCCAATATCGTTGCGCACTCACTTTTTACTTGCTTCTTGATGGGCTTGGTGGGGTCTAGCCAGTGCTTCACATGATTAGCATCCATAAACTGCAGCCCAAAGTAATCCTTCTCAATAATGTCCAAGGCATAGAATACCTGTTCATAGAGGAAGCTGCCGAGCGCTTTTTTCTGCAATGAATGAAACCAAATTAAAATTTATTAATGTTTGCCAATGACGTGCACAGTAGAGATGGCACAAGACTGGAAATCGTTGTGAAAAAACAAATTCTACAAGTGCATCACGAAACACACGAATTCCCAAATATATATATTAGCTGTTAAGTCGTTATTTACTTGGAAAACAAATAATGAATCAAGATTTACGGCTTGTAATCTGTTCGGTGCTCGCTAAAATTTAATAAATATTTTAGTTTTCTTTATTTCATTTGATTCTTATAAGCTCCTCAAATTTCTTGACAGTTTCGTGCGGGATTATGTCATGAAAGATAACACGACACGCGCCCATCTCTAAGGCGAAGTATCAAGTGTGGCCCTGAACTAATCACGTTTGTTTTTGTTTTTTGAGAAGTTCTTAAATAATGTGCTCGATCAGCACTAAATTTTGTGTTTATCACACGTACACACACATGCACACATACACAGACACAGGCATGCAATCATGGAATGTTTGTACTCCACCTTAATCAAACAGACACAAGACACCCCTACGGCGCGAAAACCCCTTTTCCAAACTCGCGTGTCCCTGTAGATAAGCAAAATGTAATTCTATACTCACCGATAATTCGATGGAAAGGTCAGTATTGTCCAGCAGTATAACACGGCAGTCGATTTTATTTTTGTTTACCACGATGCGTTGGGGCTTTATCTGCGACCCGCTGCTGCTTGCAATGACAGCGCCGCCTCCAGCGCCTCCTCCGCCGCCACCACGAACGTTGCTCGCATTATCCGGATAGTTGTTGCGCACCTTGCGCCGACTTAGAAAACGCAGCATTTTTTGCAGTCCGTCGTTCTACCCAAGTGTCGTTTGGTCTTTTGTTGGTAGCTTTGGCTTTGTTGCCAACACAGCGTATTGCACCAATAATTCACCTGTGTGCTCGCGTCTCCGTCGTCTGGGAAAAAGCGCAGACATCAAGACCACAGCGCAAACACACACGCACACACACAGACGTACACACGCACGCACACCTGCAGAGCACAAGCGAACTGAAGACACCAATACACAGACAAGCGCATACAAGTGCGCTGCAACTTGTTCTTGTACGGAACAGATATACACACAGATACACGCACGCCCCCCGTTTACTTGGCCATCCACTAATAAATCGGGTTGAGCTGGGGCTGGCTTGGCGCTCCTGTAGCCGCGCGGCTATTTTTCCCCAAAACACAGTTAGTTGCAGCGGCGTCCCCTTTTCCGCACTGGCATAAAAAACAAGTCCGCCCAAAACACGTTCCGTTCCTTTCGTTCCTGTCAGAGAACACGACGACGGCTGCGGTATTCCTTTCTCCACAGGCGAATGTTTTTAGCGCTTCGTTTTATAGCATTAGTAGGCGCGAGTTGTAAAATGTTAATGTGTAAGTATATTAGATATGGTGCCGTAAATTGTACATTTGCTGTACTTTCAACCAAACTTTTATGCGATGATGGTAAAGTGCGTAGTGTGACCGAGTCACGTTAGCGTGAAAATGTCGCTTGTTCTTTTATGTATCGATACACATCGCAAATTTTCGATGTCACACTATTTCGCAGCTGGTCACACCTTTGTTTGAATTCTTAAAACTTTTTTTAAAAAAGCATAATTAAATATTAAGTGCTTATAAAAGTTTTTAGCAGTAGTTCAACTAAATTTCATTATCTATTGGTTGTGGCACTCTTCTGCTATGGACGCGTTACTTTTTGCGTGTTTACCAACACTTGTTGTTCGATTGTCAACTAATCGATTATTGCTATCAAATTCAAAAAGCAGCGCGCTTTATAAAATAAAAACAAGAATAATTTGGAAAACATATTGTCATTTAGTGTGACTTGTGCCAAATAAATCAAAATCAGATGGATTAAGAGTAATAGAGTAATAAAAGTAGTAATAACCCCCAGCTATATAAAATAAAGACAAAGTATGTCTTCGTTTTATGAATAATATAACTAACTTTGATTTGAACCAAAAGAAAACTATCAGTTAACTTACGGTTACAAGAGTCCCACCACAGCTGTAAATACGTAGCACAAGGGGGTTTTGTAGTTGCAGCCGGCATTTGCAAAATCCTTTTTATGGGCAATTTATTCCTTTATTTGTTAGTGGATTTAGGGCTGGAACTGTAACTGTAAGCGACGCAGTCAGCCAACACACACAACCCCCGTTGGTCGCAGTATTTCGAGTTTAAAGGTAAATGGGAGATTTATCGCCGACAATTTCCGTATACTCATGTGTGTGGTGTGTCTGTGTGCGTGGGTGTATGTGTGTGTGTGTGTGTGTGTGGGTGTACTGTTTTCTTCCTTCTTAACTGTTGGTTCATATTTATATCGAGCTTTTAGTGGGCCCCCGAGATGTTGGATTGGGTTTGTTAGCTCGGCTTTCCTTTATAACATTTGCTAAAAGCGTAAACTATTCATGCGCAATAGCATGATTAATCTACGTTTATTGGCTATCAATTTTCACTCAGTCCCGAACAGATATGCATTTACACTTAGATGAAATGCATTTCAGAGATATGACAGCATAATTACAGAACGGCCGTTATAGCATGTGCATGATTAATCACTGGCTAATAAGGAAACCCGATCTGCGGCCAACTTGATGGCCACTGGTATCTTCAGACTTACACGTAATTACAAAGCGAGCGAACGAGCGACTTGAAGACGGCTTGATGCTCCAGCCAACAACCAGAGCTGGCCTGGCCATGAAACTGGCCGGGCCAACATGCGTAGGCCGTAATTATGACAGGCAGCTAAATGGTTTGCTTTGATGGGTGTGGTCACAATTAGGAAATGGCTAATGTTGCCTTTTGCCTAAAATAGACGTGTTTACAAAGGGTTTTACTTGGGCCACCCAACCCCCCCCTGGCAGCTTGTATTTGTAAAATTTTATCGATAATGGCAAGGCGTGCGTATTCTTGGCCTGACAATGTCACGTTGGGGGTGTTCCGGTATATGAATATATTTTACTTTTTGGTGGTGCGCGCGTAAAGTTGTGCATTTTATCTGCAGTTGAGTGCAAAATAAATTCCTTTTAATTAAAACCGCAGCTCGTGATTTAAATTGCTACGGCTGAGGCGTCGTCGCAATTTATTGGTGGCCATCCATAAATCAGTCTGCCAGCGTCGCCTCGGGCAACCGAAAAGGTAAATTCATTTTAATTAAATAGAAAAATGTTTTGCTATTTACTCGCTGTACGCTAACAAACTCGCCAAGAGGCCAGAATGCCAAATGCCAGCGAAGGAGTGATATCCATAGCAAGGAATTCGAACTTTCCAGTAATTGGCTACTTAAGTTCTCGATTGGTACGCGACGTCGACGAGGGACATGGCTCCGATGCTGGCGCTGGTGTGGCTGAGGGTGCCAGAACGAGCACCAGTCATTGCAATAAAAAACATCCTCGTGTTGTAAAATTTTATGTGTGATTGTATGTCGCTTTACGATATCCTGCCGCTGCGCTCGGTCTCGACACTCGGCTCGTTATTGTCGGCCAGGAGACAAGCACAGGATGCGATGGCGTCCGGGCTGCCTTCAACGAAAGAAGCGGCGGGGGAAGGTGGGACATTGAGTTTGGACTGCGGCACAACAACATTTGTTGTCTCAGCAAATTCTCGGCCAACTAAGCGATTCCCGTTACCTGCGCTCACCTACGCCCTGGGGGAATAATTCACGGCTATTTGGCAAGTCAACAGCTTGTTTTATTCTGGCCTGTAATTTTCGATGAGCACTTTTTTATGATTAGCGGCGACAAAAGCCAAAATCAATTGAAAATCAATGTTGCAAATGTTTTGCCACACTTTGTTGACTGCAAAATAATTAGTTTAAGCGAGGGCGGGACCCACCCGGGGGGCTTGGGAGGGGTTCGGTTTGCAAAAAATCTACAAAATTATGCACAATTTATTTTATTTCATATACAATTTAAAATGTGTCAACGTTTTTTAACACTGCGACCTTTCCGTAAAAAAGGAAACATATGAAATGTATAAAAAGTTATTTATGCCCTGGGGCAGCTTTTGTTGCAGCGCCATTTGGGGCGTTGGCGCTTAGTGACCGCAGCCCCAGACCGCTTCCTCGCCAAACACCATTCCACTGTGGTGTCACCGAAAAAAGAGTGAGAGAGAGCCAGTGAGAGTGCGAGAGAGAGAGAGAGAGAGAGAGAGAGAGGGAAAGCAGCGGCGTTTTTTAGCAACTCTTTTGGCCTGAAAGCGGCTTAAAGCCAGAACGGGAACAGCGAGCAGGTCCGGTCGGGCAGCTAGGTCTAAAACTTTTCGCAGCATTGCAACAATTAAAAGTGGCACAAGGGTCATTGAAACAATTGGCCATTGTTATTTAGCCAGGGGTTTTAATTTATGCCACTAATTACTTTAAGAGCTTTGTAGCTGCAATCAAGCTGAATGCGTTGTGCTCCAAGCCCCAGCCCCAGCCCAGCCCAGTCCAACCTCAGACCCAGCCCCAAGCGCCTGCTTCAGCTCTAGGGCACTCGGCCGAAACTTGCTTTGAACTTAAAGAGTGGTTGGAAGCTGGTTTCTTATAACACGATGGCCAAACAATATGCAAATGAGTATTACATATATTCAAATATTTTTTCTATGCCACTAGGTAGAAACTAAGGCAAAAGTTTTGCCCAGGACTCGGCTCTCTTTTTTATTTTATTTTATACTCTGCAACAGTTTCGCTTTGCTTGACTGTCTGCGGCTTTTTCGGGTGACTGCGACTCTAAAATGACTTCAAATGACTTTTGCCCAACACCAAAGAAGTTGAAAGGTTTTCTGGCTATTTACACTTGATTCGGACATATGTACGCACACACAGATAACTCTATACATACACATATACATATACATATACAAACTGGGCTAGGTTTGGCCCTGGCAGCAAACAGCAAAAACTGTTTGGCATTAGTTGCTTGCCCCAAGATTCCACCCCTGGGATGTGGCAACAATAAAACTATCAACTTTAAATTGTAGTTTATATTATTGATGTGTGTGTTTGCTTGGCAACGCAAACTCACTTTTCCATAATAATAGCACAATGAGCATATTTTTGGGTTGCCTTTCAGACAAGTTTAAAGCAGTTCAGCAAGCGGAAATTTTAAAAAATAATTTCTTTTTATGATTTAAAGCTTAAGCTGAGTAAAATTTACCATATAGTATTTATTAATTCAATATTTATTGTGCTTGCATTTTCAATCATATTATATACCATATTATATTATTGCATTTTTTTTTTTTGTTTTTGACAAGTATAAAATATCTATTATTTGGCTTAAATGTAAAGAGACGAGTTCAAGGATGTGTAAGACCATCCCGAGCTCAGGACTCGATCGGTGGAGCAACAAAAATTGCGTTTAGCTCTGCAGGCAGGGCGGACACGCAACAACACATGCCACATGCCAGATGCCACATGCCACATGCCCCGGCCACAGCCACATTGTTCCAGCAAGCTGGCGAGAAGCAGCTCATCATCAATGTGCAATATTTTGCTTATCATGCAGTTTGCCTGGCCATCATCTAACGAGTAGCACTAGAATGGCTCGAGAGAGCAGAAAAAGTAGTTCATTGAGCAGCACAATTTGCTGATTGTTGGAATTTTTGGGTATAGGAAATGAAAACCGAAACTGAAACTCATTTAAATCAATATTTTGTTGGGCACGTATGCAGCAGCAATAACAGCAGCAGCAGTGGCAGTGACAGCCAGTCGTCTTTGGCCAGCTGAGGCAGAATTGGGGATTCTCTGTGTATTTAAGTCGGTGACCAATGCTCGACATCAGCACAATTGTCAAATGCTTGGTTGTTGTCTTTCTGGCCATACGCTTACCACAAATACCCCAAAACCCCAGACCCCCAGCCAGATGGCGCCTGCATGCAAATGTCTTGTAACATTGTGCAGAAAATAGCCCACAATGGCCCGGCACATCGAGCGCCATCCAACCGCCATCGCACCCACACACACGCAATTATATTTGCCTTAGGTCTGCATTAGTACGCCGAATGGTTTGGCTTTACGTCCGGCTATTGGTTGCGACCAGAACTGCTCCTAAGAGTCATTTCCGTTATTCCCCCTACACTGTAGTTAGGCTCAAAACCGCACACCCCCTCCCCCTCCGCCTCCCACACACACACACTCAGCCACACCCACATCCACACACACACACACACCCCTAAGGTGACAGAATCAGTTTTTCATGTGTTTGATGTGTGCGGTTCTTGCGGCTATCGCTGTGATTTGTTCAATTCCATTTCTAAGCAGATAAATGTATATTAGATCAGCAGTTTAATAAACTAAGCACTCAGAAAAAACTGTATAAATTAACTTTGGCTGCCAAAACAACAATTTGCTCAAGCAAAGATTTACTTTTATTTAGCTCGAAAAGATCTTTATAACAAAGTTTTTGCAAGCGCTGCAACAAATATGAAAAAGTTAAAGAAAAAAAGCATTTTAATTGACTTT